GCTCCCGGCCGTGTGGCTCGACTGTGTCGTCGACCATGACAACGACCACGACAAGGAGGAAGAAGCGGCACCTGCAACGTGACACGCTCAAAGCTGTCCAAACCAAGCAAAAGCAGCACTGCACTAGCCCTGGCACGGCCTTCGTCGTCGATCATGACAGCGACCACGAAGATGAGGAACAAGAAGCGGCACCTGAACGTGACACGCTCAAAGCTCCAAATCAAGACTAGCACTGGCACGGCCTTCGTCGTCGATCATGAAAGCGACCGCGATGATGAGGAACAAGAAGTGGCACCTGCAATGATGGCATGCTCAGGGCTGTCCAAAAGAAGCAAAGGCACCACTGCACTAGCACTGGCACAGCCTTCTATTTTTGCACTGCGAGGCTTGGCAGCCAGATCGAAGACTTCAAGAAGACGACACTGCAGGCCGTGAGTCGATTCACAGACAGCTTGCATTATATTGTTATTGACTAAGCGGCATCATAATTTGGAAGTATTACAGTTACATTGGGCCACGACCACGACCACGAACCTGCAGCGACTACTGTACTAGCGACCGCGACTGCGGCCATACTGTACTAGCGACCGCGACTGCGGCCATCATCAGCGACCGCGACTGCGGCCATCATCACGAGCGCGACCGCGGTCATCCTCACTACGACCACGATCATGATGACCACGACGCCCGCCTCGGCGTTCATCTGGCCAAGCAGAAACTAGCATGAAAGACGAGGAGTGTCTCATGCGACAAGAAAGGAATGTGCTGACAAGTCACCAAATGCCGAAGCTGTAGAGCCGCCATGGAGCGGACCGCCCCTGTACTCGAAGCCGGTTCTGTCCGCCGCCTCCTTGATGTAGCTGGATTTCATCAACTTGAAGCGCTCCTGGCAGTGATGCATAACCGCAGCCGAGGGATTCCGCATGCCATAGTTGTCGGCAGGACCTTGGTTGGTCTGTGCGTGTTCACTGGAAGCCTGGCTAATCCTGACTGAACCCAGAAGCAGACAGTCGCAATAGTTGCAGCCCAGACGCTGCCGTTCATTGCATAGGCGAAAAACTCCACGGCCATGCTTTTCTGCCATTGTGCCAGAGCAGACATCACCTTAGCTGACAAAATGCAAGCAGCCCGCAGCCCTTATGCACCAGGCAGCACAGACTTTAAAAAAGGAATCAAGGCACCCTCCACGCGGTTTCATCAACGTGCAGCTCTGCGAGCAGGCCAGCAACCTCGGACAGGCCGTGTAGAGGTTGTACTTGGCCTCGGATTTAGTCGCACGTGAAATGCACATTTTAGCACAATTGCTGCAATGTAAGCCAAAAGCTTTGGATATGGAGGTTTAGTTAATGCAGCCATGTTTCCGTCTGAGTGGTCCACTCCTGCAATGTTTGCACAGGCAGCTGCGGAGGTCCAGTCGAAGACGATGCCGCAGGTGGCTGCCCCTCAGGCGACCTCGAAGGCGACCACGACGGCGACCACGACCCCATGCCCCAGGTCAGATGCTTCAAGGCCTCCTCCTTGATCTTTTGCAGCTGCTCGACGACGTCCCTTTCCAGCCAGCTGCCCACATTCCTCAACGCCTTCGACTTCAGGCCATAGTGTGAGGGAGCCCATATCGCCACCGAAAAAAGCCACGCCAGCACCACCGCGGCGCTTATGGACCGGTGCCTCCCAGCCGAACCTGGGCGGCTCTTGTCAAAAGGCGCGATGAAAAACAAAAAAAAGTGCCAAACTAAGCCTAAACCCAACCACCTGAGTCACGACCAAGAAGCAGGTCACCGAGAAAACCTGGAAGAGGTTGCGATCGTGAGCTGCAACTGCACCAAAGCCCATCACAGCGATTGCCACCATCGCCTGAAAGCCCGTCTCCAGCAACTCCATGAGGAACTCCTGGTTCTCCAGCGGATTGTCGCCACCTCGACCTGATAGACACGATTCTGCTTACCCCGTTTGGCTGCTCAGTTCCTTATCATAATAGTTAGAACTGAACCACAAAAAAGTTCTAAGCAACAGCACAGACGGCCACGAGGAGAGGGAGATCTGGAGTGCGCATCCTGCAGGTTGGCGGGATCCCTCGGCCAAACTCCACGGACATCATATTGGAAATATACGGCGTTGCGACCATAGAACTTGTGCAGCAAGCTCGGCATGTATTCCCGCCCCAGCTTTCCTTAGCAAATACAGACTGTGTTAAGTGTTACACACTGGCACACAAGCCCCCAACTGCAGGCAAGCCGCCTTCGTATTGGCGTTCCGCCCCCCAAGCCACGACGATGCCATGCATCTCCATGGCTGAAAGCTCGGCGAAGGAGACTTAGCCTAGCCTATGCTTGCATACTTCGACCGCGACCTATGAAACTTCGACCGCGACCACGATCTATCTGTGACAAGTTTCAAATCAAAGCCTCGGGACAGCCAGCCTCAAGCTAGGTCCTCAGTAACCTATTGCTCCAAAGTGAATCTGAAAGGTCGTCGTTCAAACTGATGAGGAGATCACAACATTGAGGGGCCAGTTAGCACTGAGAGTTCGAAGGGCTTCACCACGAATTATTAACCATTGGGAATTGTAGATGGTCTGATCTGCCAGCTGCTAGCACATGATGTGTTTGTTCTCACATGCCATGAACTGCGGCTTGCCCAAGTACCTGGCCAAGCCGATTGAGCCGTAGTGGCGAGAGAGGTCGGCTCGGATAATCACACTCAACCCGACAATTCAAGAACGTCTTCAAAGGTGCAACGGATGCAATGCAATGGCACCTCTTCCCAAGTTCAAGCCCAGCATGTCCAAGCGGGAGGCGGATCGGGCCTCAGCGAGGGTGAGCTAACACAAAGCTTGGAAGCTCAGGGGTCCAGGTGGGAATGGTTCAAGTTAACCTGAGCAGAGGGGCTGTTTGGGGGCAATGCATGCACAGCCAGACAGCGACCGCGACCACCACCACCACCGCCACCACCGAATCACTCCGAAAATCCTGAAGCATCCGAAACTCCCGAGGCTCCGACTGACCTGACAAACGCCCAAATTATGGTTCTAGCCCCACAACCCTAGATCCCGAAATCCTTACAACCCTGAAAGCAATCCTTCAAACCCTACAACCCTAAATCCTGACAGCCCTTTTTAAAAGCCCCATTTCATCCTACTTCCTTACCCCCCTGATAGTCCTCAATTTACTACAACCCTAAGGCCTAAAGCCCTAAACCCTTACTTACAAACCTGCAACACTAAATTCCTTGCAGCCCGTAAACTTACTTTAAAAGCCCAACTTATAGCCCGAAAGCCTTAGATCCCCGCGAAGCTGACCTACTTTGTAATGGTTTACGGTTTCGGGGTTTAGGGTGTAGCGTTTTTAAGGGTTCGGGGCCTATGCTTGCGATCGCCTCGCTCTTTCGAGCGCTTCTCCTCGTCGCTCTTTCGAGCGCTCCGCTCTTTCGAGCGCTCTGCTCTTTCGAGCACTCCGCTCTTTCGAGCGCTTCTTCGCTCTTTCGAGCGCTTCTTCGCTCTTTCGAGCGCTTCTTCTCTCCGCTCTTTCGAGCGCTTCTCCTCGCTCTTTCGAGCGCGAACTCTACTCGCTCTTTCGAGCGCCTACCCTAGCCTGAGAAACATACGATGAAGGGTTTAGGGTTACAGGTTGTAGGGTTTCGGGTTTGGGCAGGATGACACAGAAAGGTTTAAGACGCACTTTCGTGCGCACGCTCTTTCGAGCGACTAGGGTTTAAGGAACTTAGGGCTTAGGGTTCAGGACGCACTTTCGTGCGCATAAACGCTCTTGCGAGCGACTAAACCCTAAGCCCTGAACTCTAAACCGAGCCCCAAGCCTAAACCAAGCCCCAAGCCGAAACCTTAACCCCGAGCCCTACCTAAAAATCCCAAAGCTCCGCACTCTTGGGCCGTGGCCCCGCGACCGCGACCACGACCAAGCCAACGTCCTGGGCCGGCAAACCCCATTGTACAGTGAACCAGTTCAAACCGCCCCCACCCTCCCAAGACTGTCCTGCTCCACGTCTCATCGTGAATCCGACGAAGTCGATGACCAGGAGGAAGAAGAATATATATATATATATATGTATTGTATAATGTATGCACATGTCATGTTAATCACACAGGCATACACAGGAAATTGAAAATTGCACCCACCACCACCACCAGCAGTAGTAATGCGTAATGCAGCGGTACTTGTGGGGGTGGTGGTGGTGGTGGTGGTGGTGGTGGTGGTGGTGGTGGTGGTGGTGGTGGTGGTGGTGGTGGTGGTGGTGGTGGTGGTGGTGGTGGTGGTGGTGGTGGTGGTGGTGGTCTGGACGGAGGAGATGTTGCACCGCCGGAAGACAAACAACGCCGTCTCACCCTGCACACCCGTTTAAACATTGCTATGAAGATACAAATCTCCGGATTTGTCCTAATAACATAAGCCGTGCACCGCCCCATCAACAATTTAGAAGGGTGCGCGGGGAGGTTGAGCGACGGTTGCCATTCCTTGGGTTAAGTAGGTGGTGCAAGACTTCCTCCATCCACCGACTGGACTGAGTGTCCTGTTATAAAGATGATGATCCCTGGCGCTTCACAGATTCTAGCAGTCGGTCTGAAGTCTTATACATCTTGAGCCTTTTCTGGAGGGCAGACACTACTACTACTACTACTACTACTGCTACTACTACTACTCCTGCTGCTGCTACTACTACTACTACTACTACTACGTCTGCTGCTACTACTGCTACTGCTACTGATTGCTGCTACTGCTGCTACTACTGCCACTGCAACTACAACTGCTACTGTTGCTGCTACTGCGTACTGCCTGCGGCCTACGGCCACTGCCACTACCGCTACCACTACCTCTACCACTACCAAGACCACCACCACCACCACCATAACCACCACCACGACCACGACCACAACCACGACCAGTACCAGTACCACTGCTACTGCATATCCTGTCGTCTGCATTTCTGTTAGCCTGCTTATGGCTATCATCCTTTTACCATTCCCACAAAGCCTGTACGTAGTCAACTCAGGCTCCAGCCAACACCAGAATCTCCAAGTATTTCGACCTCGGAGTGACAGGTCAGCATCGTTCGGTTGTTGGTTGGCCTAGGAAATCTCAGATCTTGGGGCGATGGTTCAAGAATATCAACCCAAGAGCTTGCTTCAGGCGAGCATCGACTTCAGGTACGTCCGCACGTCCAGCTCGGAAGGATACCCGCTGGTGCCGGCCGGGACCACGGGTGCCAAGGGGCTGTTGAAATCCACCTGCTGCGTCTACAGAGTGCCCAAAACGGACCCGATAAAACCTGGAGTTGCAGCTTGAGGCTTCAGCTTCAGCGGGTCTACGCCGCGAAGCGTAGAGGGCCTAAAATGTCTGCCTTGTGGCTGACTTCCGCGGGGAGGCCCAGGAAGATCACTCCGTTATACATGTCCATGTCCGGCTCAATGAGGTGCATCCTTTTCAAAGGCGCGCAAGCCAATTCGTGCTCGCTTGATTTGTGCACTGTCTCTGGGCGGGGCAGCAGTGAGAACCACTACAACGATAGTTCAGGATCAACAGCATGGAAGAGCATATTAACAGCCAAAGCAGCATGCTCGTGGGCTTCTAGCCGTAATCTGGCAGCATTCTGAGACGCTCATTTCTTGCGTTTGGAAATAACTGAATACGATTGCGAGCGCAGTGAACATGGAGTTCAAGCGTATTTCGACAGGGAGATTTTCATAGTTCTAACAAACTCGCATGTTACACGAAAGGCCATGGATCAGAATGTATATGAATTGCACATCTAGAACATGCGATTTCAGCAACAATCTTCTGCCAGCTCAACTTGGAAATGGCTCAGGACGTTTACATAAGAATCTACCGGCTGTTGTGCGATTTGCCTGGATCTTCGTGGGTGCGATTCCTGACTCCTAGCTTGCAGCCGCCACCATCCACAATGCATTAGCGCTGGTTCGGAAACCGCAGGATGGTGGCTTTTGTTGCACTTCTTGTGCTTACACTGCTACTAAACATCGCGGCGTGAAAGCAGCACTCCAACAGAAATTCCAGAACCAGCTTGCAATGCGAGGATCGCATTCACCTCCACACGCACGCCGCGTGGTTGAGAAGGGTCCTGCAACATGTCTATATGAGCATGCTGGCACTAATTTCCACTAATTTCGAAAAGAGTCAGACTTGTGGAGAGAGCTGACATATCCAAAAATCTACAAGACCTGCAAGACTGAGCTTGTACTGATACGCGGAGAAACACTTCGCCACAAGGAGCCTGCAGGGCCTGCATTGTAACTGAGTAACTGTAACAGCAATCGCCTGGCCTCAAGACCACCGAGCCCCCCAAGAGCCCCGGAAGCCGGCCTTGTGGTGCTGAATGCAGTAAACTTGGATCTTCCCTGCACGGCTCTAAACATCTAAGGGCGTTGCAGAGCAGGGTGGGTTTGCGGGTTCATGAAGTTTCAAAGTTTCTGTGTTTGAACCTAGCAGGATCTTCAGATCTTTGGACCACCTCTTTTTCCACTCGTCATCTGGAAGTCTGCGATACTCTGCATGGGACTGCTCTACATGTTTCTCAACCTTGCCTTCAATCCACCCTTGCATCGTTCCGTCTCGACTGCGAATCCAGCCAACTTGCTTGAAACCCGGTACCTTGGTCCAGTCTCGGAGCCGCAAGCCCAATACCAAACCGATTCGACTTTATTGCAATTAACACTCAGACTCGTTTAAGCGACTGCAAGGCGCGTTGACTTAGAGGGTGGACTTGTCACGAAGTAATGAGTGCGTCCCTGGACCCTAAACTCGACACAAATGCACAGGCCAGCCTTGCGACAAACTGAAGCCAGTCCTTTTCGGATGCGAACTTTGTTGAGCAGGCTGTGCTTATCTGCCGATGTAGCTGGGCTAAACAGGTACAGCTACGTGGATAAAGATGCACATCTACTTTGAAAGAGTGATTGAACAAAACGACACATACGAAGAAGTTGACCCAACGTGCTACGTCTCGAGATGTCTCGAGCCTGATGGCGTGGTCTCCTTGCGCTTCTACGCCACTAACCGACCCAACAAAGAGGGAACCCGGGGATAGCAGAGTCTGTCCTCTTCGCGATCCTGAACGTCAGCTGCACGCAGCCGTCTACAACTCTCAGAAGTGCCGTGTCACTGAACATCACGCTCGCTGCGTGTGCGCTGGCCTGTGCGGGAGGCCCTAGACTCCTAGACCAAAGCGGTTCGGATCACCGCGCTGAGACAGAACACAAGGCAAAGACGGAATTTGCAGCCCAGGGGCCGCTGAAATCCTTCGTTCAGGGGTTCTCTCACACGGCTGCCCCTGCTATCCCGACGAGGCTCTGCGGCCGGCGGTCTTCAGGTTAGAGCTTTGTACTTGTAAACATAGAAAAGCCAGAAGCGCCGTTTCAGGTTGATGGATCAGTAGATCAAAACACTGTGCTATTTCGAAGCTCTCCTCTCCTCTGAGCACAAAGACATGTCAGGACAAAAGTGTCGAGAAGCTGTGCAAAAACGATGCCAATCACAGCTGCATCCAGCATCTGCCCGCAGACGACCTGATGGCGTCTCTGCTCAGATTAGACACATCTGTAAGCTCCCCAACCGTCCGTGCAAGATCCTGTCCCCTCATGCACCGCAGGATCCGACGCAGCATGGGCCAAGTAGAAGACAGACCAGCTTGTTTGGGAACGCCGAGGACAGTCGTGACAGACTTGCAGGGAACCCTGCAGTCCTCTCGCCTGCAACGGCAGCAAAAGTACCGCTTCCGGGCAGCCAGCGAAGTTCTCCGCCGGAGCCCCATAACCTTCCAAGTTCAAAACATGGAGTTCTGAGCCTGAGGGGACTGTTGGGCTGCGTCCGCCCCAGGCTCCAAACTTGAAGGCGGGGCGGCAGGGCGGCAGGCTGTCACTCGTCACAAGGCCACAAGGCAGGTGCAGATCATCACCGCAAACGCTCACAGCTGAATCCCCTCCATCTGCTGCTCTGCAGAATGGGGGCCGATGGTCATCTGCGTCTCGACGGAGAAGTAGAACGCCGACATGAGACCCGATAGCCTTCCAGGAGGCCGAGAGCCATCACAGCCACGTCGAAAACCCCGATAGATCCAGCCGAGAAGCCCGATTGCGCAGCTGTCGGAAATGCTCCACCACATAATCGCAAAGAGCAGGTGGCAGAGTGCCTCACTGATGCTTACTGCTGCCGGGGCACCATGCAAATGCCAAGAGAAAAACTGCGCACTTACCCCACTAACGGCATCTCTGTTCTATAAACCCGAGATTTGCGAGCAGGATTCTGCACCTCTGGACCAAGAAAAGTGTTGGTCTTGCATGAGGCATTACTCCTATGCTGCCTGTGACTTGATCCGAGGTCGGCGCGTAAGAGATGAAGACCATCGGGTAGACTCCAAGAACGGGCACTTGAAGTATAGTGTGGAAGAAGTCATAGAAAAACATAGCATAGATCTTCCGCTTCTTCCGCACCCAGTACACCTGAGCATGTCGCATGATGAAATCAGCTGATTCAGAACGGTCCGCGTGGATTTAGTGAGGTAAGTGTAAGGTGACCTATACGGAAACCCAGTCCGAAGCAGGCTCCAGCCCAGATGCCCGGGTGCTCTGGGACTCGCCCGCGTCGCGGTCCAGGATGCGCTTGATCTTGCCTCTTTGCTGCACCAGGAAGTGGCTGTCCTGAAACTTCGGACTGGAGCAAGTACGAAGTGGCACCGCTTTGCGGGGACGAGTGCAATAGGCCCTTGGTGCCCTTGCAGCTCACAGATGCGGGTTTTGCACGCGTTACTTCAACCCAAGTGAAAGTCTGTATATCATCCATTGCTGCAACTTGCCTTGCCGGCTGTCACGTGGAGGTAGACACGGAGCAGGATCGGGAAAGCAAACGCAAGGCAAGAGGTTTGAAGTGTTCCCGCAGTCAGTCATCAGGTTCCGACAATCGGTAGGCTCGGGCAAAAAACTCCCAACATCAACAGTACAGTACCTCTGAGGCTGGTCGAGTCGCTCTGCGCGTGACCTCTCGCAGCGGTGCAAATGGCGCCGAGACGGCATGGTCGAGGTCGAATCTATCCTGAGTCTTCGACACGGTCTGCGAGAAAGAGCGTCGCACCACTTCAGCTCAAGGTGCCTCGCCATGCTCGCGAGTGTCGGAGGACTCGTGGCCGTCCTGAGGATGCAGCCACTGGCCACAGCCACCTCAAAAAGAGCCCCCCAAGTTGCGTCAGCCTCATCGCTCCGCTCTGCAGCATCCCACGAGGCCATTGGCCCAGCAGGAATGCATGACACTGTGCCTCAAAGGCCTCTGATTATGAAAGCTGAGGCAGCAAGCCTCAAGTTTTGCATCTCAAATCCTTCGAGTGGTGCGGGATGGTGCGGGGTCGAGGGTCTGAGTGGAGCTTGGGAAACTTGGAAACGCTCTGGACTTGTGTTGATCAGCCATCCGGAAGATGGTGTGGCTGTGCCTGGGCATGTCCCAGATGCCCGTGCTGTCATCACGACCACTGCGATCGATCCGGATCTAGGTCCAGAACAGCTGCAATGTTGCCGTCATGTCCTACTTTCGCACGTGCACTTCACGGAATCTCGATCACTCGTTTGCAATGTGCCAGGTGGGGCCAGCGACAAAGGCCTCGGAATTAAATCCTCCCGGAACTCTAAGGAGAGGAAGTGCTGGAAACAAGCAAAAAGGTCAAGACACCCAAACAAGAGGAACTAATCACGTCACGTGACGGCCAATTACAAAACTGGTTCTTCGGCTGCAGCCTTACGAGTGCCACATCAGCACCGACGAATACAAGCCCTTCACAGAGCTATGAAGGAATCGTCTCCAAGCAACCGACGATGAGCACCTTCTGCGAATTGCAATCAATGTGAGCCCCGACCCTCACACAATCAAGGAGTCCAACTACATAGTTGAGGACTCTCTAACCCTGCAAGCTGCAGCGGAAACCTGAAGCCCGAAAGCCTATCTTCCCAGGCCCGGACTGCAGATGTAGTCGCGGACGGCTGTGCAGCACTGCCGCAACAAAGTCCTGACAGCTGCAGTATAGAAAGGGACATGCCTACTTACTCTGAGGATTTTGGCCTGTAACTCTTTGCAATGACAATGACCGTGTTGCCACTTTGTGGGTTGGGCTTCCACATTCCACGGTATCGGTTTCAGGCCTCGGAATCGGGATCTACTACTGAAAACCTGTATGATCACGTGACCATATCAAATCTGACCTATAAGCTCGGAACCTGCTGCGCTTCGTGGGCCCGCAGCTCCAGGCAGACATCCAGCAGCATGGCATCCCTGGTGGAAACAGCATGAAGTTCAGAGCATGGCCATCCCCTTATCGGGAGCAGCGCTCTTAATGCGAGACCAAAACGAATGGGAGTCTCGCATCGAGACGCGCAGGTGGATTACATATAGCAAACTCAGAGAAAGACTGACAGATGCATAGGTGGATGGAGCGGCTCCGAATGCCAAGCTGTGGTATCGAGGGCCTGGCTTGCTGGCTGGAAAGAGGCTGGCATTGCAGCAGACCTCGGCAGCATTGTCAGCCATAAGCCCTGACGCGATCGCGTCGAGAACCGCAATCTCCACTAGTCTGTGGAGGCCTCGCGGAGGAGCATGCTTGCGGTGGAAGATACCTCGCTGCTAGACTGCACCATCTCGACCAGGGAGCCGGGTACGGTTTGGAATGCAAGCGCAGTACACGGCTAAGGGCTCACCAGCGCAGGGTGTGGAGTGCAACGAAATTCATTCTGCATAATTAATGACAACCAGGTTCAGACGAAATAGTGCGGCCGTTCGAAAAAAGCCCGTCTCCGTTTCTGTGAAGAATCCAATGCTCTCCAAGACAGCGAACCTGTGTGCTGAAAACGGGTGCCAGGCCTGCTTGTCCTCGGAGCCCAGCAAGGAAGCCAGGTTCCGCAATGCGAAGGCGTTGAAGAAGAACACCTGCCAGAGGCCAAGATTTTGCAGATAAAAATCGGGCGTTTAATTGTGTTTACAACAAGCTGGAGTCTTTGGATTTGTAATCTGACCCAAGAGCCGTGTCGAGCACTCCCCGCATCTTTCTTACAACTTAACCCCTCTGCTGTCTAGCTTCAGTTTCGTGGGCCGGAAATTCAACACGACTGCTTCCGAATGTCGATTTGCTCGGAGATTTCGGCTCCCTGGCGCTGCCCCGCCCTGCCTTCGTCTGTCGTGGCAGCTGCCTCTGGCGCACCACCAGCTCCATGATCTCAGCAAGTCGCACAGGTATCACAATTCGGTCGTCAAAACTTCTTCAGCCTTCGAAGCCAAGCATACCACATATGTCCGCACACATATGACCTTCGTATATCTCCAGACCAGTTGAAAGACTCTTCCTCATGCTCGGAGCCGTGCGTCATGCACGAAGGCCAAGGCTTCCTGGGGTGGATCCTCACCGGCCACGTCACGGCAGTCAAGGGCGGTGAGGATGTGGTGTGGGAACTTCCACTAGGAACAGCATGAACAGCCTTGCCATAACCTGAAGTGCCTTGACCAACTATCCTGGACAGACCCTCCCGGGAAAGACAGAGTATCAGAGCTACTCGTCACGACGGTATGAGATTCAGGAAAACAGCAAATCCCCAGAATAATGCATGTGACACTGAAAAAGCACGACCTGCACACTGTGGCTATTCATCCACACTCTGAGGACCTGCGACAAGCCGCGCAGGACGCCGCCAACGAGGTCTTTGATTCCTGGCAGTGGGTTGTTCATCATGGCTCCCGAGTGCGACTCATGCGCACAGGCCTAGGGCAGCAGATGTCAAGGACGGATCCTTCCATCGCAAGAAGCCTCGATGCTCGGCGGGAGTGGGGCGTCATGATTCTGCCTGCCTATCGGAAGGATCCAGGGCAACCCTGCATCTCATGATCAAACTTACCCTGCATCAAGGCCTCCTGCCAAAACTTTCACGATTTCGGTGGCAAGTCTGGAGTCTGCGGGTTTGGATGCATGGCTGGGGCCTATAAAGCTAATGTATTTTCTGATGGCAAGATACTCACGCAGAATCACACGGATACAAGAATGCCACTACCAAAAACAGACTTCCAGACTGAGAAGGAGAGCGAACATGCAGGCAGATGCCGAAACCACGGTCAATGCCAGGCGATGCCAGGCGCATCTAGGTTGAAATTCTCTGAAGCCAAAGGCGGCTGGGCGGCTGGTGGCGAATCTGGAAAAGAAAGTCCTCGTGTCCACCTCTCAGCACGGACAGCAAGATCTTACAGCAGCAAGCAGAATCAGTCACCAACTAGATTCCAACTTCAATCATGCGTCCGTCCGACAAAGTAGGTAAACTGCATCGTCATAGATGGAAGTTTTCATTTGCGAACATCTGCTGGGGAAGGAAAGATGGCGCCTGCATCAAGGCCCGGGCACTTCCAAAAGTAGAAAGCTGAAAGCTTCATGCTTTCCCCCCGACCACCACAAGACACATGCCCTCGACCACTTTGAACACAATGTTCTGAACAAGGCCTCAAACTCCTAAACGAAACCTCAGCTTGTATGCAGCGTCCGGCACCTTCGGAGGCTCCTTGCTGTACCCCTGCCACGGGCTGAGGCAAGGTGCAGAATCTCAGTCTTCTCTGTCCCACAAAAGATCGCGAAACTCAAACTCAGGACTCGTGTTCCCACGCAGACAAAAGCATCCCGCCCGCGCCTGCAACGCACAACCCCGGGCGAGCCTTGTCCTTCTTGGAAGCCTGGTGCCTCCTCTGAGACAGCCTTGCAAATCCTTCGTGGGCAAAGTTGAAGGTCCGGAGCCTCAGCACTGGGGTCGAGAATTGGGCCTTGCATTCCATGTGAAGCATCTTGAACTCAATCTCACAGGCTCTTATCCTGCGCCGAGCCCTGAACAACTGCGAGGACATCGACTGGCTCACAGAACTCACTCCAGCGAGCAGCCTGTCAAGACAGTGGCACAAACACAGACCTTTACGTGCCGCTTCATCCGAGAAAGGCTGCGACAGACGCCTTCACATGAAGCCCCAAAGGCCTCAGCTTGTCGGCCTATGATCTGGCGGAGTTCATGCCCGATACTGCCAGCAGAAGCTTCGATCTCCAGGACTCGAGTCTTCGCCGAGGCCAAGCCCAAGCTACGAAACAATCAGACGACTACAAGGAGAGCACGTGGCGTGCTTCTTCCTTCGCGAAACACCTCAACGATCACGCGGTGCCTACGTTTTAGAGCGGCCCCGGGCGCTGCCTCAAGCATGCCTTCAGCAGCTGGTCACGCTCGGTGCCCATGTAGCGGTAGAGCAGCTGGGCATGGGCAGATGATCGCAGTCAGAAAGGCTGGTCTGGACCAAAGAGTCTCAATCAGTGTCTGAAGAGTGTGTAGACCGGACCTGATTCGCGAGCTTGGGGTGCAGGTTTCGAACCCCAAGCCCAAGGCCTGCAGGTGCTCCGACAAGATGCGCCCTGCCACGCCCTGCCGCGTCTTGGCAGTTCGGGCACCTGGTCAGAATGCTGTGCACAGCAGTGCACGCCAGGAGGCAGTTCTGAGAGTAAGTAATTCAGTGCACTTTCCCAGCGGAACAAGTTGAAGCAAAATGGGCCTGAGAATGCCAGTTACCCAAGCAGTTCTGCCTAAGTGTAGGACAACTAGAGCACCACTACATACAAACGTTGCAAGCTTTGAGTGCAGGGAGTCATGCTTGAAGCGGCTTTCCAGGTCCGCACATCCTTCAAAGCAACATCGACATAGATGCACCCGCCTTCATCGAAGCCGCCTTCCAAAACGGAAGCCAGCGTCTCGATCACGAGGGCGGCAATGCGGTTTCCATCACCAGACTCCTGGTGACATGCGGACGACCAGCCCTCTCGCCCCCTCGCCGGGCGATTTTGTCATGTCGTGCCAAATTCGGAGTACGCATTCAGCCTGATTTCATCAGAATGGCTCCCTCCGTTGGGAAGCAGTGGGGTGTTGTTCTGGTGTCATCACATGCACTAATGCACCCGGGACGGACTGCGTCAGGGAGGGCTGGCAGCTTTGGGCAGGGCACGCTGGGAAGGGGTCATTCTGAAAACATGCCGTGTTCCAAATACGTGTTCTGCAGCACATTGGCCTCATTCAGAGCAAGCTCCCAATCCTGGGAAGTCTCATGTGGTCAGGAACCAACTGTCATTCCGAAACAGCCTGACAAATGTCGAATTCTGGTGAATGTCTTCTCATATTGTCTCCTTCCCATGCCTCATTCTTCGCCACAAACACATTTTAAGGGATGTGGCCAAAGCATTGGGATTGGGTGCAGCCTCGGTGGCAGCGACGCAACACTTCTCATTCAACCTCTCCTGACGCTGCCACAGAGCGAACAGCTCGGCGCCTTGGAGCAGAGTAGCAGCCGACTTGGCTTAAGCAAGCGGGGAAGAGCAGAACCGGCAGCCTGGGCTTAGGCATCCACACTGCGGGGACAGCTGCACGTATGCATTGAGCAGCTGCACCTACCGAATCATTGGCTCCCACATGGACACCCTGGCAATCGCTGCGAACAGCACGAGACTCGTCGTCCTTGTCGAAGCCGCAGCAGAATGATGAAGCCCGGCCCGTGCAGCGCCTCCCCGCTTCGGAGCTCCGCACAGAGCCCGGCCAGTGAAGCTTCGGCTCGCTGCTTCTCGCCTCAGCGGTGTCTTGAATCTACATACAGCGAATCTCGGCCAAACGAGAGGTTTGGGGATACTTCAGCTCTGAGTGCGAACGCCTGCAACACCAAGTTCCGCACCCTGCAGCTCATTTGCAAGTGTGCGGGCCCTCTCACCTGGTGCTAGTTCCGCTCGCAGCAGCAAGAATAGTAGAGCTTTAACAACAGCAGCGAAACTGGTGGCTGTGCTGGTGCTGGTGGTGGCGCTGCTGCTGCTGCTGGTGCTGGTGCTGGTGTTGCTGGTGTTGCTTGTGGTGGTTTGGAGGTGTTGGTGGTTTTGGTGGTTTTGGGGGTTCTGGTGGTTGTGCTGGTTGTGGTAGTTTTGGTGTTTTGGTGGCGGTTTCAACACCCGGATACTTCACACAGCAAATGCAAGACAGGACGCTCTCCATGGATCAGGGAACCAATTCATGGCCAAGGCGTACCCACACCGTTTATTTAGGCAACACACTTGTCATGGCTCTACGGTTGGAGCTTTTGGGTTGATGCCGGGCGCTGTTTTTGCGCGAGGTTGTTGACGAGTTCACCTCAAAGCTTCGGGATCTGCAGCTTAAATCTGGCTCATCAGCTTAGCTTGGTGCGTTATAGCGGGCCTTGAACCATACAGAATCCATGTGAACCAGGCATGTCATGCATAGCCGTGACTTCATTCTCGGCCCCATGGAACTCACAAGGACTCTGAGCGTGCTGCTTCCCTTTTCGTCTCTCGCCAAGGATTCCCAGGGCTTCTCGGATTCCCATGTCTGGCTTCGGGTGCACACTGACTTGGCGCTTGAAGCTACATGACCTGCTTTGAAGACCTACTAGTTGCACCTCTCTTGCTAGCCTCTTGGCCTCTTTCGCTCCAGCTCCAAGCAACATAGTTCCAGAACTCCTGTAAGGAGGCGCAGACCTAGAAGCGAAACTCCACATTCCTGTGATCACGGGCATCGAAATAGATGTCTTTGATCTACCGGTAACCTGTAACGGGAGCCTCTTGGTCTCACCATTCTCACCTGTGCTGTAAACGTACACAACGCAAGGGAGCTTCTCCATTCACGGCCTCAAGATCTTGCTGTCTGGAGAGACAGATGCGCAATGTCGCGTCGTATGATGTGCAGAGAGGAGAAGCGCCGTATGGCTGCCGCTGCCCGCAGCACTTAAAGAGACCACAGAGCCAGCGCGCTTGCTTCGCAGCACTAGCAGAGAGGACGGCAGGGCTGGCGGCATTATGTACAAAGACTCCGGGCTACGGGTGAGCCCGGGCTGCAAGCTACACTCTGTCTTTCGCAGACGGCCAAACTTGGGGTCAACTCAAATCCACATCGGGCACGGAAGAAGCTGCCTTGAAGATCTGCAAACTAAATCTCTGAATCGATTACATCCCCAAAAGCCGTTGTTCCACCGGTCAAGAAGCCGTTTTCATCTTAGAACTCCTATCTCAGCAAGAACCGAACAACACCTTCAAAAACTCGTGCACACCGGATCTTGCAGAGGGAAGCGCATGCTGTGAAATTCAGAAGACAAGCCGATGTGTTACCCAGAACGACTCCAACCAAGCCGACTACTGTCAACAGCAGTTTGGCTGCTGCTGCTGCTGCTGAGCTTATATTTATGTGACCTCTATGTGTTATTCCTTTTGCTTGCTGTTGCCTTCTTCCTCCTTGGCTTCAGTTGCATTGTAGTTGGCATTAACTATGTTTACATGTTCAATTCTTTACATGTTCAATTGTACTTGTATCTCGTTTGCTTACATCTAGCTTTCTTTTTGTTCATTGACGCTTGCATCTATTTACACTGTGAGCGGTTTGCATTCATTTCCATTCCAGCAACTAGATATGCAAATGAATATGCGTGCATGCCATAAAATTGTCTGCTTATCTGCTTAGGACCTGCTGCTGTTGCCAGATGGCTCTATCGACACTTGACCCTCCGAGATCATGGTTCTTTACGGGCTTCCGAACCCGGCCAACACGTGACTTACAATGCGTCAAAGAGCAACCAGCGGCGTGGCAACTCCTAGGCGGCACGCCTTTTCGCCTAGATGCAAAAAGGGATCCCTTCAGTCGAGCCGGATGCAAGCCGCAGACATGTCTGTGCATCTCTGCCATGCTCCTGCACACATGTCTCTTTCACACCCGTCCTCGGCGAAAGCTGAAGGGACTTTGCAGCTGCCGACTGTTCCGGGGCAAAACCTATACACTATACAGTGGTACCCTCGTCTGCAGCCTTCTTCTTGGCCTTGCGAGCCTGCCGTCCAGCTCGTATGGCAACCTTCTTGAGTCGGGCCTCCTCTGTGGGCTCGAGCTTCCATTTGCCATTGAGCAGGGCGTCAAGTAGAGGCTCTCTCTCGCAGCCAAGCTTGGTCAACACATCGGCCAGCATCTGGGACTGGGAGGTGTCCACCAAGACAGCATAGGCACTGGCGTCTTCATCATCATACTCGTTGCCGCCCAAGATCTCTCTCACCTGGGCCACCAGTACACGTACTCTTTTGTCTTGGGGCTGGCCGGTGTCGCGGTTGAGCGTGGCTTCCAGGCTCTTGGCGTCCGTAGAGGCGATGATCTTGCCCTTGAGGTAGTGCCTATCCAGGTCGATGAGCTTCACCCCGGGGTGCAACAGCTCCATCAGGATCTCTCGCACATACTCAGCACTCTCCACGCAGGTCAGGAAGCCGTTCGCCTCAGCCGCCAGTGTGCTACGGCACACTCTCTTGATGCTCCCGCTGTAGGTCTCCAGCACGAGCACTTGGACCTCCTCGCCATCCTTGATGCTCGGGGTGGTCAGACACACCATGAAGCCACACTGGGATTTCATCCCGTCCAGGTTGGCCCAGGAGTTGTCGGCAAAGCACGCCACAACGCAACTTTCCAGCTTCAGCTCGGAGCTTCGGAAGCACCACTTGGCGTCGCTGGTCTCTTTCATCATCTTGACCGCCTTGTTCAGGTCGATGATGTCCTTCACACGCGGCTGGCCCATGGTCTGAGATGCCAGGCCGTCGTGTCACCCAGCCCATTTGGCCGATAAGGCCACGGAACAGGGACTTCTCTTCCTCGTTGAGCTCGGCGTTGGGCATCTTCCGTCGTTGCTTGTCCAGGACCAGGTAGTCGATGCCCTCAATCGCGTCAAACTGGTCCACCTCGATGTCCCAGCCGACCTGCTTCAGGTTCTTTCCGCAAAACCTGAACTCACCACGCTTCACCTTCAAGTGAAGCTCCTTCTCCAGCTTGGCCAGGCTCTCCTCGTAGAGGTTCCCTTCTCCGGCGCTGAAGAGGTCGTCGACGTGGCTCAGCATCACACCCACAAGGGTCCCGCAGTCAAAGAGGAAGAAGAGTGCGGCCTCGATCCTGGACATGTTCCAGCCGTGGGCGCGCAAGGCTCGGAAGAGCTTCTTCCACCACGACCGCCCGGCATCCTTAGTGCCGTAAATGGAGCCCTTGGCACGAAAGAGGTCCGTGGGCAAGACTCCCGGTGGCGGTGGTCTCGGGGCACGTAGAATTTGCAGCAATCACCCATCGCTTCATCACAGCCACGGCGCAAAGCAGGTTGAAGGGAGTCAAACCGGATGCCCTCGGGGTTCTCCTCCTGGCACCCTTGCACGACCAAGCGGCTTTTCGGGGTAAAGGGGAACTCCTTCTCAGGCTGCTGCTTCGACTTCCCAGTCTTCTTGGCAATGTGCCCCGCCAGAAGCCTTGGCTTCTGGTTCTTGTCTGTCTGAACCCACCTCGTGCCCACGATCTTGGTCATGGGAGGAAGGTCCTTGATCTGTTCGGCGGTCAGCTTCTCCACAGCGCCGAACTTCTGCCACGACGACCATTCCTTCTCCATGGCCTGGTCAAACACGGCGCGCTGCTCAGCGTCAAGGTCCTTGAGCTTGATCTCACACCTCGGACTCGGCCGCTTCCATGGAAGAGGCGAGCTTCTTGAGATTGTTGTGGCGCACGTTGTCGGGTAGGTCCGGGTCGTGCCAAATGGCGTCATCAAAGGAATGGCTGTTGCCCAGGAAAGCCTCGGAGAAGGACTCGGTGTAGTATGGTCGTGGTCCTGCCCCTCTTTCTGGTCGTCTTGGAGCGTAGCCCATGGTCATTGGTGCCCCGCTCGGTGAGGGACTGATCAGGGGAACCGCGGGCTCACCGTAAACTGGGTCCACAGGTGACGGTGCAGGTTCCACAGCAGGAGTCATAGGAGTCGGTGTGGTTCTGGTTCATGTACAGAAGGTCTTCTAATCAAAGCGGTGGCCCCTCCCGTCCTTTGGTTTTGCTCTGGTTCTCGATGGACTTCTGTGCCCATTGGCCCTAAGGCCTGGCCGGTCCCGTTCTGCTCCGTGGCGGTATCCATGGCTACGGGAACTGGCTCTGGTACTTCGTGTTCTGCGGTGGCCCCTCCCGTCTTTTGGTTTTGCAGAGGTTCTCGAGGGACTTCTGCTGCACCCATTTCATCCAGTAGTCCTCCGTCTCCAGGGTGCTCGGGCACCGGAGCTGTCCCTTTCCCCATGAGCGGGAAGGTCCAGCATAGGAGGGCGCCTGGGACCTGGAGCATCCAAGAAGGTCTCGCCTGATCACCGGCTTGCCGCTGGACTGGGGGAACTGGATCCGCATGGCATGGGATATCTTGCTAAAGCTGTACTCGTTCCCAACAGAAGCCAGCACGTTGTTCTGCTCCTTAGGGTCCAGGCCGCCGAACAGGAGGAGAAGGAGGGCGCGGATCTCCTCGGGGACCGTGGCTCCCGCGAGAACTTCTTGAAGTCTCCGAAAATCCTGTTCCCGGCGCACAATGTACTGCTGCATCGTCCCCTGGGGGCGTCGCCAAACATTGGGGCTGTAGAAGGCAGCCAGGAAGACCTCATTCTTTTTCACTGGCTGCTCGGCCGCGACCGCCTCCTTCAGGGTGTCCAAGAGCAGCTGGGTGCCCTTCGGGGTCGGCTTCTTGTTGGAGTCCTCGGTCATCTTGAGCTTTCGCACGCTCTCGTAGGCAGTCCCGGAAAGCCCGGATCTCAAGTAGACTGCCATCGCCAGCTGAGTTTGCTCCGAACCGGAGCGGCCATAGTAAAGATCCCAGGCCCTCTCCGTGTACTCCTCGAAAGCCTCCGGGTCCCCGGCGTATTGGGGCACTCCATATCTGTCCACATCTAGCCTTGCCCCCGACGTCATCACGAACCGGAGGGCTGACAGGCCGCGCAGAGTGAGGCACCGGCACAAAGGCGGGCGCCAGGAAAAGCAGTGGGGCTCCAACCGCCAAGGCAGGAGCCGCAAGGTTGGGCTCAGCGAAGCGCCAGTCAGGCGCAGCAGCAAAGTCCGGCTGGTACACGGGCTCCGCTCACCATCAAAGAGCAACCAGCGGCGTGGCAACTCGTAGGCGGCACGCCATTTCTCCTAGATGCAAAAAGGGATCCCTTCAGTCGAGCCGGATGCAAGCCGCAGACATGTCTGTGCATCTCTGCCATGCTCCTGCACACATGTCTCTTTCACAATGCGTTTCGCGTGTAGTGTACTCAACCCGGTGATTGGGTGCGCCTGGTTTTTTGCGTGTATTGGCATCGAAAAACACAAAACGTGCATAACGCGCCGCAGTAAATTCAGCCTTTCTGTTGAAACGGCAGCGAAAGCCTTTTGTGTAGATTTCGCGGCTTCGAGGAAGCTACTCGCCGGTCTTGTCGTTCTTGTTGGTGCAAGCCCCTTACATCCAGGACAGGAAGCCACCTTCGCCATGACCGCAGGCGATACAGGGAGCCGCTGGAGCCTTCGCTCGGATTCCCAGTGTTGGAGCTTCTAAACCCTAAGACTCAGACTCAGACCTGTCTTGACAAAGAGAATTCTGCCTTCCAAGGCCTACTCACAGGCACCTGCAGGAACAATTGTTGTGTGCCCTGGCCTGGGCGACCGTGGCGATCGTGGCGACCGCGGCGACTTCGGAGGTTCCGAGCGCACCGAGGGCGTCGCCGAGGGCACAGCTGAAGGCACCTTTGACGCTGAAGAAGCCTCGAGCTCCCGAGGAGAGACTGCAGTGGCGGCCTCGAGAGGTGAGAGGCACGCGAATACTCGGCGAAGACGCAACGAAGTGATTCATCGAGGTGCATGAGAGACAAGCATCATCTTTTTGTCAGGAGAACCTCACTGCTCTCAACTCCTCACTCGGCTGACCGATGGACACAGCAACAAAGAGAACGGGTCGCTCGAGACTTGATTGGAACTTGCGATTTGTACGGAGATACCTCATGACCACGACTGCATCCTCTTTGAACTGCAAACCAACAGCCATAGGGCCATGAACCTCTAAAGAGCCAACTCGACCCATCCCACGCGCCGGCGGAGGCAGGAGTGGTAGCTTGGCAAGCTTGCTCAAGTGGGGTGCCTGAGACATGATGGTCTCACCGCAGCTGTCTCAATGCAAACAGGCGTCTTGGGCTTCAAGCTTCAAAGAGGCAGAAACTCCATCGCGCTTTTGGCAAGAACGCATCCAGGGAAACTCGGGTCTGAAAACCGGCGACACGGGGTTGTTAGCCTCAAGTGTCTGGAACATGCTTCCTCTGCTACTTGCGTGTACTGGCTTTAGGTGCATTTGTGTGTAAGATTGCCCATCACTTGCTGGTGCAATGTTCCCCTATCTTCGGTCGTCGGCACCTGGGAGCAGTCTACAAGTATGCATCCCTCGTGGGTAGGACAATGTAGGGCCATGTCACACCAGAGCTGAATAGAAATGGAACCTCGCAGGGGGGATTTCATCGCCTTGCTGCATGTGGCAGAGCCGTGGCGTACATCTCGGGCGCCACTTGGCTTAACATTCAGGATTCGGTTTGGTTTCGCTTTGTTTTCTAGCCCGTTCGGTTACAGCGATGGATTGGAGCTCATGCATGCAATGCTTCTCTAAAAGTACCCGTAAAAGTACCGGTTTGGTGTGGCGGAGCTTCAGCATGTGGAGGCGTCACAGCAAGCACAGTGGAAGCCGACTGATTCGGATGCTCCACTCAAAGAGAAGCTGGAGCGCTCGCCTCCTGCGAGATGCTGGCAATCGCCTTGGCGCTGCGACCAACCGCCTGCGGAAGCTCTAAGTCACCAGACCAAGGTTGAGGGCACGGACGGGGCTCTGCGGCTATCAGGAACTCAGGCGCTTGGGGCAAACAACAGAAGTGCAAACTGCTTGCGCCACATGGCACCCAGCTCCATGGCCTTGGCAATCGCCACGAACTCGACATTGATCTTGCTGTCCTGTTTCCAGCCCGGTTTCGTGTCCATCTGATCCGCTGCTAAGTCTTGCTAAGTGAGCACCTCCACAACCTCCAGCAGCAGCTTGCGCCGTAGCTTTTCGGCGCGGATTGCTGCCTCCCCTGGCTGTACGGCACAGGACTAGGCCTGCCCCAGGCTTTCATGGCTTTCGCGATATTCTTTTCCCAACAAGCAGAGCTGGAGCTAGGCCTAAGCCTTGCAGGGTCCATGCCGCCGTCGGCTAAAGTTTAACGGACCTCTTCTGCGGCAGCGCCTAAACGTCTCTTGAACCCCCGCCCCCTGTTCCCCCCCGGCCCTCCAGGTCGCAGACATCTTGCACTAGAACAGCAAGCTCGCGGGATCGCACCCATTTCGCGGCTGCGGGCTTTCTCTTCGTCCAGGAGGCTGCGCAGCCTGAGAAGAAGCAAGAGGCCATTCCGTACTCGCCGTCGTGACCGGACATAAGTCGCTGCGACTTTGAGTTGGCAAAGTCTGAGCTTTGATGAAGGCTACCCCGTCCGTTCCATTGATCGCTTGTGCGCCTGGGTTTGAGTTTTAGCTGTCTTGCGCACCTTGCAGTGCTGCGGGCTGCTGCAGAAGCCTCCTGTCATGCTGACTTGAACAAGCTCCGTTATCTCCGTTGTCTTGGATGACGTTCAGATCCGCTGGGAGGGAGGGGTTCTGGCAAATTCCTTGGTTCTTCGGATGCTCCACACTCGTACTATCCCTTTGCTTCTTCGTTCTGCTGCCTTGGCCCTACGTGGTGCCAAACAAGCAACGGGTACTGGTCCCGCTGCTTTGCAGCGGCAGCGGGTACTGGTCCTGCTGCTTTGCAGCGCTGCTCTCGTTCACCAGATGACGATGTCTTTGAATGGTTTTTGCAGTCGCAGAATGTGTGATTGATAGCTGAATGTTTCTTTTGACTCTTGTCAAGGTGTTCGACGTGTTTCCTTTTATTCTTGCCAAGGGTGTCCGACCCTCACCTATTGAAAAAATACCGAAAGCACGGAAGCATCCTGCCTCGCAATCTCTGCCGACGCCTCTCCGGTGTTCGGCTGCTGTCCCTTGGATTTGCAGTGCGGAAGACATCACTGGAGCCTGGAGTCTGACAAAGTTACGAGTAGCTGGTGGGTCAACTCGCTCTGCAACAGGGAAGATGAGACAAATCCCAAAGTGACTGGTGTGGGGCTGACCCCGCACCTGGTAAGATGATTCAACAATATTCAAGAGACTACAACATGTAGAGCTCAAACTGAGATCTTTGATCCACCATCAGAACCACAAGCACCAACTAATGCCCTGAAAGTCGAAAGCAAAGCGAGGTGTCGGGGCTGGAAACCTAAGCTCCGGACCACGGCAGATGCACTGGCTTCGGCATCTTCGGCTTTGGTGCGCTCGGCCGCCTGGCCGCTCTGTGCTGGACAGGGTTCGCTCGGGATTCTCTCGGACTTTCCGCCGTCTGCAATAAGGCTCGGGCATAGGCGGCCTCTTCGGAGCGCAACGCCTGCCGCAACTCAAAGACCTGGCAGCTCTCGACAAAAAGTCATTCGGGCTGGGCGAGTAGACAACACCAGACCAGAAGAGTAGGCCTCTTTGCTCAGCTGCTCTTGCAGCCGCGCTGTCTTGTCCTTGTACACAAAAAATCCCGCTGCAATGACTCACCCGTCGCACGTGCTGAGTCTGATGTCCTCCTGTGTTGAAGTCGCCGTGGCGGCCGCTGGCCTGGAAGCTTCGTGGACGCAAGACGGGAAAGACCATCGAAGGAACATGCACATCCACAGGCCACCGTCCCCCCTGGGGCGGAGGCATGATGCCGCTTGGGGTACCGAAGGAGCCACCTGCTTTGCTTGTATGGACATGGCTGCACGATGCTGCACGTGATCTGCTCCAGCAATTTCTGCAGATGCTCCTTGCCTCCGGAGGGGATGTGACCCGCAATCATCACAGGCGACTCCTCTGTCTACCAGCCAAAAACCTAATGGGGAGCCTCTAAAGTGAATGTCGTGCGCTGGCTGCGCAGGCCGAGCATGCTCGCCGTGGTACTCGCAGCAGGAAGAACCCGGAAGGGCTAACGAATGCTGAACAGCTCAGTTCAGTCCAAGATTGGGCCCTCAAGTAAGGTTGGAAAAGCCCTGTATGTCTGCCCTCTCCTCACCATGCGCAGTTTCTTCTGATGCGGAGTCGTCTTCGAAGGGATTCCTGGTGTTTGCGTATGACAAATTGCACGGTAGCCCATGTCTGCAAAGATCTAGAACCTATGCAAACATAGAAGCACCGCAGCACGACTCAGATTGTGTTGAGGAAAAGAAGGTCCTGTCGGAAGTCGTAGCATCTTCGACCTTCACCTCAGAAATCTAGTCTTGCTGGATTTGTGCAAATCGCATGCAGAGTTCGTAGAAGAAGACAACCTGGCTGAGAACTGCACCCGCAGCGGTGGTGCAAACGACACGGCACGGTCTCGTCCTTCCCGGCGAGACCTCGAGAAACTGAAGCGGAATTGGGATGCTCACGTATCATGAAGGCTACCGGCTACCAGTACAAGTCTAAGCTCTTCAAGGATTGTTGAGGCTTGGCAACGAGACGTCGATTGCAGATCAACTAACTCGACATGAGTCAAGCGCAAGTCGTTGGTTCGACAGATGCATTGCCTAGAAGGGCACCTCAGTCACGTGCCAAACGTCTCTCTGTGAAGCTGCAGAGACCGCTCTGAAGATTCCTGAGCTCCTCGCTTTTCACTGGCATCCTCGACAGGGCTGAAGAAGGCATCGTCCTTTGTGGCCTGGCAGTTTGTGTGCGATCCTCTTCTATGACCAGGGCCCTCATCCGAGCAAGGGGGGACATCTCTCGCTATGCCTGATCCTCGGGCTCCTCCTCGATAGACACCATCTTGACCACGCTGTGGTTCAAGCCCTGGCAGCTTAAGGCGCTCACGAGCACAAGCAAGGCAGCTTGTCCGACACACAGCCCTTATGTTAAGCCTTGGGCTCATCGGCTCATCCCTTCAAGCCGAAACTTCTTCTCAAAGCCCCCAACCTCGAGCTCCTTGAGAGGCCCCGCTTCGCCGAAGTCAGCAGTTTTCCGATGGGTGCGGACGCCCGGAGCACCTGGTCACTATTTGCAACATGAGTGGTCCCCAACTCCTCCGAAAAATCCCTCTGCTCGGGTTCCCGCGCCTTCCACCTGCTCCTGCGCCTGGGCTACCTGGGCGTGGACCAGCTCCGCCTGGAAAGAGCAGAGGCGCTCAAGGAATCAAGCAAAGCAGGCAGAAGAGTAACCACAACTTACAACAGCACAAAAGGCATGGCAGCATCCTTAAACACACAAGTGGGGCTACGTATGAATCTAGCCTGTGGAGCGTGCAAGCAATCACTGCGGGGAAAGGATCATGCGAAGTTGCAAGGTCGCATCGCAAAGATACCGCAAACTGTATGCCCCAAATCCAAGTTCGCTACACACCGGTAAGCCAGAAGGACAACAGAATCACAACTCTGGCAAAACACGTCTAGTCCTCAGTGCGCCTGTAAAGCCAGGCACTCCTCACGGAGGCGGCGAGCCTCGCAATCTCGAGATGTCTCGAAAAACCCTTCGCAAGCGCTTGAACGAGAAGTTGAACTGCGCTGTTCTGCGAAAGTGTCCCAAACAAACCAAACAAGCAATCGGTTGTACTGAAGCTGCAGATCTGGTTGTTTACGGCCCCTGCCTCGCGAACCCCCACTGGCCCGTCCACACCGCCGTCCTCGCAGCGGGCGGAAACAAAGAGGTTCTGATCACCTTGTTCCGGCAGGCGTCCTCAGCTGCGGCCTCGCTTGCAATCTGCAGAGCGTACTCCACGTCTTCGAAGCGCTCCTGTGCCCACTCGGCCCCAACTATCGTTGAGGTCTGTTCCCGATGAGGACGACTGCCTACTTTGTGAGGAGTCAGGAAGCTGAAACATCCGTATGCACCAGCACAAGCTGAGCAGCGGGACCCTGAGATCAACCAGCTCCCGCTTGGAGCTCGCCAGCTCCTGCGTGGTCTTGCGGAAGCCGGAAGGCCGACACTATTGGGCCGGTCACGACTGAGAACCCTCGAGGGCGCTTCAATCAATCAGAGGCTGAGTCTGGAGACGGTCGCATCTTGGGAGACATTTCAAGCAGAGCATCGATGGACTCGTGTGGAGGAGCACGTGAGCAGGGTGCTGCCGTTGGCTCGGCATCACTCGTGGAGCACGAAACTGGGCAAAAGAAGCGGTCCCAGCTTTCCAACCCCAAAGCCGATCCCAAAGATGTGGCACCTTTAAGGTATACGATGCTGCGACTCTACGTCCTGCACAAATGACTTGTCGTCAATCCCTGCCGAACTTCGTTGCGAAAGCGCAAAAGCTAGGATACGAACCTCTGCTGCAGTGCCCTCTGCCTGGGCTAGGGCCTCTTCAAGCCCTCTGCAGGACCGTGGGGCCTCAGACAGCTCGACAAACCAATGTGGGGAATTTCTTGTGCCCGAGGTTGTGCCAGAAAAAAGACCGTGAGACTGCCTTGGAATATTCCCGCTCAAGCCAAAAGGCGAGGTCCCCACCTCTGCCTCCAAACTTGCTTTCTGGGCTACATCAGCTTCTTCCAGACGAGCCTGGCGCAGCGGACACGTCATCCTGCTCGGGCACGGGCTCAAAACCATCACGTCCCCGCCGTCAGCTCAGCCAAGGCCAGCTGGGAGCTCTGTAGCTCGGCTGCCAAGTGCTCCCGGTGCTTTTCACCGGATTCTTTCGCGGCCTGAGCAAAGTTTTCCAAGACGCCTCACCACAAACGCAGGTCAGCGCAAGCTCTTGGCAGCCTCTGCACATGCCAGCTCCTCGCGTAGGCTCGCCTTCGCCAGCAGGTCACCAGTGGAAAACGTCGCCACACACTCTGGCCACCCACTGAGCTATGCATGCGCCATTCATGAGATTAGGAAAATGCTGGGAAAGCCTTCGGCAAAACACAGAAACAGAGACATCAACGGAGCATGAAATCTCTGAAGCCCTTCCTTTATCATTCCGATGCCCATGCCTGGGCAGTGGCCCGCCGCTCCTCATCCTTTGCAGCACTCCGGGCTGATAACGGCAGGCAAACAGCTGTGCTCTAAATCCCGAAACTGTACGCTCATGGTCGTGCTGCCGATTCCCATCTCGGAACTTTGAAAATGCCGCCTCAGCAGCCACACCCGTAGCTATCTGCAGGGCGGACTCAACCGCCTGCAGTCGATCCTGCGCACGAGCTATGGCTACCAAAACCCTTCTCCTTCGAATACACGGCTGGCAACAGCTCGCGGGGAGCCATGTTGCTACGCTATCATTGGGAATTTGATTCACGGACGAGCGTTGATTCTTTCGCTGAATTTCGTTGGCCTCGTTCTTGCACTCCAGTGCACCTCCGTGCCGTCTAAGAGCACAGAGGAGCATGAATCCCCGTCTGGTCTGTTATTCGATGTTCCCACTCTCAGGATTATCAACAAATTCGATTTGCAACAACCACTGCAGCCAAGAAGATTTCTTGTAGAACGATATGGGCATCGAGTTCTGACTCTCCAGACTACGAGACAGAACACTGAAACGCCTCAAAACCGTTCTTCCATGAAGCAGCCACAACTTGAAGCCAAGACTGCGATGAAATCAGATCTCTGGGTTCAGTTGGCCTCCAGTTCTGGGAGCTCGGAGTCTCGCAACTCTGCAGCCTCGGCCTCGCGGAGTGCAGAACCCACAACGGCATGAAGAAGGACGCACGGGAAGTATTTTCCATACCGGCGTAGGCGAAGGGCATTAGCAGCAGCATGATCGTCATCGCCAACAACACCTCATCGCCACGACCATCAGCATTGGCATCGTAGGATGAAGAAGTCTCTCCGTCCAGCCGGCGCCCATCCTCATCATTATCGATATCATCTGCTGCAACTGCTGCAGCTGCTGCTACTCCTGCTACTCCGCCTACTACTGCTCCTGTTACTACTGCAGCTACACCTCTACTCCCCTACTCCCCTACTCCCTGCTCCCCGACCCCCCTACCCCCCCCAACTACTCCTCGTACTCCTCCTACTCCTACTACCCGTCCTACTCCTACTACTCCTACTACTCCTACTTCTCCTACTACTCCTTCTACTTACTCCTGCTACTTACCCCTACTGTCAGTCGTTTCCAATCCCAACCAGCATTCGAGACAAGGAGCCTCCACACGGGCCAGCTCTCGGCGCAGTGCCACTGTCCCTGGCTCCGCCTTCGGAGTCATCGGAGCTTTCGAGCTTGGGTAGTTCAAAGCCTTCGTGGGCTTCAGACAGAGCCCCAGCTCCTTTGCAAAGCCCCCTGGAACCGAAATTCTTCATTCAAAAAGATGAGAAAGCTGCGAAACCATTCAAAACAGTTGTGTGGCAGGATCGGCCCTTCTGAATCCTTTCTGTCCCTTGATCGTCCGGGTCTTCGAACACTCAGGCTGTAACTGGCCCAAGCAGCTCTGCTGGTGACTGAGGGGTCTTCGCTGCGGCCTGGCGGCATTTTGAGAGAGGTCCACCAGTGATCCCGGGCACAAGGGCACAAGGGCACGACAAGGGCACGGCAAGGGCACGGCAAGGGCACGGCAAGGGCACAAGGGCGCAAGGGCGCAAGGGCACAAGGGCGCAAGGGCGCAAGGGCACAAGGGCACAAGGCCATGAGGGCATACGGGGCACAAGAGCGCGAATGCACATAGACATGTATACAAATATACAAATATACATATACACATGTATACATATATACATATATACATATGTACACATATACATATAACACGTATAAGACACATATGTATATATATATATATACAGATACACATATATGCATATACAAAAATACATATATACATATATACACATATACGTATATACACATACACATATTTACATATATACATATATACATTTAATATATAAATATATATATATATATATATATATATATATATATATATTTATATATATATACATATATATATATATATATATATACATGCATACATACACATAGACATATGTACACCTCCACATATTTACACATATACGCGTATACACATATAGACATATACATATATACATATATACATATATACATATATACATATATACATATATACATATATACATATATACATATATACATATATACACATATACACACATAAATATGTGATTCTACACAAGAATACATAATACCCATACACATATACATATACACATGTATACATATACACATACATGCACATATACATATACACATGTATACATGTATACATGTAGACATGTGGACATATATACATATATACACATATACACATATTAACCGGCGCAGGCGTTGGCGGTGCAGCCGGCGCGGTCGGCGCCATGGCGCATCCTTGGTGGGCCGGCGCAGTCGGTGCACCGGCGCAATGGCGCATCCATGTGGTGGGTCGGCGCTACGGCGCACCGGTACATCGGCGCATCCGTGTTCCAGCGGCGCAACGACGCACTGGCGCATCGGCGCAGCCGAGTTGCATGCGGTGCACCGGCATCCCCCACTATTAGGGGGGAGGACCCTGAGGCATGAAATGTTTCACCTCGAGCGTGTCATGTATCATTCACTGGCATCATCTTGTTACGAGGTATGTTGGGAGACCCCCTCCCAATGACATGATTGGTTTCGAGTGCGCTGCACGGCATGTCTAGTCTAGCCATGCCACCGGCAGCACGCTCAAAAAGAAAAGTTTCATCCATCTGCCCCGTGAGCATCATCAGCATCATGCTCGAAATAACCGAATCATTTCGCGCCAGTTCTGTGAGAAAGATGGACACTCGGAGCAAAAAAATTCACGCCGGTGTGGTAACCCCGACTCCCGACTGTCTCTCTCTCTCTCTCTCTGGCTCTCTCTCGCTCTCTAGGCACGCCTGTTCCCACGTTCCCCGACGTACCCCTCAGACAACCCGGGCCACGCAACAGTGGGGAGGGGGGGATGCAGCAACCCCTGACCCTGCCGAGCGAAACCCGACACCTCACCCCAGAAAGTTGCAGAACCACGTCCTCCGTCGGGAGTCCCGGACAATCCCGGACAGCTCCACGTCGCAGAGAACAGCAGGCACACCTTTTTCCACGTTCCCCCATGTACCCCCGAGACCAACCGTAACCCGAGATAACCCGGGCCACGCACCATTGGGGAGGGGGTGCGTCCAGCAACCCAAGACCCTGCCGAGCGAAATCCCACGCTCCACCCCAGAAAGTTGCAGAACCACGTTCCCCGTCGGGAATCCCGGAAAGCTTCAGGAAGCAAAGTACAGCAGGCACGCCTTTTCCCACGTTCCCAGACGTACCCCCGAGACCAACCCAAGGCAACCCGGGCCACGCAACATTGGGAAGGGGGGCGTCCAGCAACCCCCAAACCCGGCCGAGTGAAACCCCACGCCCCACCCCAGAAAGTTGCAGAACCACGTTTCTCTGTTAGGAGTCCCGGCAACCTCCCACGTCGCATGATGAAACCCCGGAACAAAAGCTCAGTTAGACGCAGGATCGACGGGTGCCACCGTAACTCTTGAAGTGGCACGTCCATGACATGGCCCGTACGGAATATATGCAATGCCTGCTGCCTGCTGTTTCCTCTTGGGAAGTTCGATTATCTTGCAAGCCACATGTCTCACCAGCACCCCTGGGCCACTTGCCCCTGCGGGCAGGCAGCCATGCACACACAAGGAGTCGACCCCCAAGGCCACTACATGCCACGACTGCGTTTCTTCCTTCTGTTCTTCAGTCTTGGTCTTGTCCTTCTCTCTCTCGCTCTTGCTGTGTATATCTGTACATCACATCCCGAGGTGGATCGTAACATGATAATCAAGAAAGCAAGAACCCGAGCCGCCAGGGGGGGGCAGTGAAGGGGCCGGGGAGGGGGGCAGGGGCCGTGTTGAGACGAACGATATAGGGGGGGGGGTAGTCGAAGCCATCTGCAGAGGAGCCCGTCAAAGTGAGCAGCAGCACTAGTGAAACATTACTTCCTGTGTTCATACATCAGCAGCTGCAGGGCAGCAGGAGCAGGAGGAGTCGTGGTGTGCCGAGTGGGGTCAATGCCATGCCCTCTGACGCCTCGGCCGCTTCCAGCCGCTCCTGACAGCGGCCAGGTTACGCAACACTTCGGAATCGAGAAATCCCACCGCGGCCGTCGGCCGTCACATCTCATGAGCATCACCGGGCCATTGCTGTCGAGGGTCCGTCCGTTCACTCAGGTCGCGCTTGGCACTGGCAAGCTCGTCTTGGGCCTCGCGGGCCTGCCACAGAAGGTCATGGAGTCATGGGCCCGGCATGGCCCGGCATGGACTTCAGGCGCCGGTGAACTTATTGCAGATCTCCCCCCCCCCCCCCGACCGCACCTCCGTACTGAGCTCTTCCTGGTGTTTTGACCCTGCAAGGCGTGCAGCCTTCCGCAAAGGGTCTCGCACTTATCACCCCAAGGCCTTTAACGTGTCAGGCGTATCAGGATGACACTGCTGTCGCATGAACCTGAAAGACCGTCGGCGCCCGACCTCAGCTTCTGCAAGCGCCGCTCGCAGCCGCTCGAGCTCGGCAACCTGCTGTCGTGCTCCCTGCATGTGTCGAATGCTGCCAATCGTCTTTTGATGTTCTGCTTTGCTTGCTGGGAACCCGGTACGAGGAGCCAAAATATCAACAGACCCAACCCTGCCTCCTCGGAGATGGAGCTCTCCTCGCAGATGCAAGGAAGCATCATGAAGCATCATCTTCGAGGAGGACGCTATGGCCCACTGAGTTGCGCAAGATAGCTGCGCCGCGGTTATGCAGCAACTTGCAAGGATCACTCACCCCGCGTCCTCAGCGGCAGCAGCCCTAGCAGCCTGCAGCGCCGCTTCAGCAGCCCGCTCACGCTCCTACCACGGCTCCACGCGACAGGCTGAATGCGGCCACTGTGACCGTTGCGTAGTGCTTTCCGGACCAGTCACTCCATGTGCCTCTGCCGCAAGAACTGACGCCTCGGCCGCTTCCAGCCGCTCCTGACAGCGGCCAGGTTACGCAACACTTCGGAATCGAGAAATCCCACCGCGGCCGTCGGCCGTCACATCTCATGAGCATCACCGGGCCATTGCTGTCGAGGGTCCGTCCGTTCACTCAGGTCGCGCTTGGCACTGGCAAGCTCGTCTTGGGCCTCGCGGGCCTGCCACAGAAGGTCATGGAGTCATGGGCCCGGCATGGCCCGGCATGGACTTCAGGCGCCGGTGAACTTATTGCAGATCTCACCCCGCCCCCCCGACCGCACCTCCGTACTGAGCTCTTCCTGGTGTTTTGACCCTGCAAGGCGTGCAGCCTTCCGCAAAGGGTCTCGCACTTATCACCCCAAGGCCTTTAACGTGTCAGGCGTATCAGGATGACACTGCTGTCGCATGAACCTGAAAGACCGTCGGCGCCCGACCTCAGCTTCTGCAAGCGCCGCTCGCAGCCGCTCGAGCTCGGCAACCTGCTGTCGTGCTCCCTGCATGTGTCGAATGCTGCCAATCGTCTTTTGATGTTCTGCTTTGCTTGCTGGGAACCCGGTACGAGGAGCCAAAATATCAACAGACCCAACCCTGCCTCCTCGGAGATGGAGCTCTCCTCGCAGATGCAAGGAAGCATCATCTTCGAGGAGGACGCTATGGCCCACTGAGTTGCGCAAGATAGCTGCGCCGCGGTTATGCAGCAACTTGCAAGGATCACTCACCCCGCGTCCTCAGCGGCAGCAGCCCTAGCAGCCTGCAGCGCCGCTTCAGCAGCCCGCTCACGCTCCTACCACGGCTCCACGCGACAGGCTGAATGCGGCCACTGTGACCGTTGCGTAGTGCTTTCCGGACCAGTCACTCCATGTGCCTCTGCCGCAAGAACTGACGCCTCGGCCGCTTCCAGCCGCTCCTGACAGCGGCCAGGTTACGCAACACTTCGGAATCGAGAAATCCCACCGCGGCCGTCGGCCGTCACATCTCATGAGCATCACCGGGCCATTGCTGTCGAGGGTCCGTCCGTTCACTCAGGTCGCGCTTGGCACTGGCAAGCTCGTCTTGGGCCTCGCGGGCCTGCCACAGAAGGTCATGGAGTCATGGGCCCGGCATGGCCCGGCATGGACTTCAGGCGCCGGTGAACTTATTGCAGATCTCACCCCCCCCCCCGACCGCACCTCCGTACTGAGCTCTTCCTGGTGTTTTGACCCTGCAAGGCGTGCAGCCTTCCGCAAAGGGTCTCGCACTTATCACCCCAAGGCCTTTAACGTGTCAGGCGTATCAGGATGACACTGCTGTCGCATGAACCTGAAAGACCGTCGGCGCCCGACCTCAGCTTCTGCAAGCGCCGCTCGCAGCCGCTCGAGCTCGGCAACCTGCTGTCGTGCTCCCTGCATGTGTCGAATGCCGCCAATCGTCTTTTGATGTTCTGCTTTGCTTGCTGGGAACCCGGTACGAGGAGCCAAAATATCAACAGACCCAACCCTGCCTCCTCGGAGATGGAGCTCTCCTCGCAGATGCAAGGAAGCATCATGAAGCATCATCTTCGAGGAGGACGCTATGGCCCACTGAGTTGCGCAAGATAGCTGCGCCGCGGTTATGCAGCAACTTGCAAGGATCACTCACCCCGCGTCCTCAGCGGCAGCAGCCCTAGCAGCCTGCAGCGCCGCTTCAGCAGCCCGCTCACGCTCCTACCACGGCTCCACGCGACAGGCTGAATGCGGCCACTGTGACCGTTGCGTAGTGCTTTCCGGACCAGTCACTCCATGTGCCTCTGCCGCAAGAACTGACGCCTCGGCCGCTTCCAGCCGCTCCTGACAGCGGCCAGGTTACGCAACACTTCGGAATCGAGAAATCCCACCGCGGCCGTCGGCCGTCACATCTCATGAGCATCACCGGGCCATTGCTGTCGAGGGTCCGTCCGTTCACTCAGGTCGCGCTTGGCACTGGCAAGCTCGTCTTGGGCCTCGCGGGCCTGCCACAGAAGGTCATGGAGTCATGGGCCCGGCATGGCCCGGCATGGACTTCAGGCGCCGGTGAACTTATTGCAGATCTCACCCCCCCCCCCGACCGCACCTCCGTACTGAGCTCTTCCTGGTGTTTTGACCCTGCAAGGCGTGCAGCCTTCCGCAAAGGGTCTCGCACTTATCACCCCAAGGCCTTTAACGTGTCAGGCGTATCAGGATGACACTGCTGTCGCATGAACCTGAAAGACCGTCGGCGCCCGACCTCAGCTTCTGCAAGCGCCGCTCGCAGCCGCTCGAGCTCGGCAACCTGCTGTCGTGCTCCCTGCATGTGTCGAATGCTGCCAATCGTCTTTTGATGTTCTGCTTTGCTTGCTGGGAACCCGGTACGAGGAGCCAAAATATCAACAGACCCAACCCTGCCTCCTCGGAGATGGAGCTCTCCTCGCAGATGCAAGGAAGCATCATCTTCGAGGAGGACGCTATGGCCCACTGAGTTGCGCAAGATAGCTGCGCCGCGGTTATGCAGCAACTTGCAAGGATCACTCACCCCGCGTCCTCAGCGGCAGCAGCCCTAGCAGCCTGCAGCGCCGCTTCAGCAGCCCGCTCACGCTCCTACCACGGCTCCACGCGACAGGCTGAATGCGGCCACTGTGACCGTTGCGTAGTGCTTTCCGGACCAGTCACTCCATGTGCCTCTGCCGCAAGAACTGACGCCTCGGCCGCTTCCAGCCGCTCCTGACAGCGGCCAGGTTACGCAACACTTCGGAATCGAGAAATCCCACCGCGGCCGTCGGCCGTCACATCTCATGAGCATCACCGGGCCATTGCTGTCGAGGGTCCGTCCGTTCACTCAGGTCGCGCTTGGCACTGGCAAGCTCGTCTTGGGCCTCGCGGGCCTGCCACAGAAGGTCATGGAGTCATGGGCCCGGCATGGCCCGGCATGGACTTCAGGCGCCGGTGAACTTATTGCAGATCTCACCCCCCCCCCCGACCGCACCTCCGTACTGAGCTCTTCCTGGTGTTTTGACCCTGCAAGGCGTGCAGCCTTCCGCAAAGGGTCTCGCACTTATCACCCCAAGGCCTTTAACGTGTCAGGCGTATCAGGATGACACTGCTGTCGCATGAACCTGAAAGACCGTCGGCGCCCGACCTCAGCTTCTGCAAGCGCCGCTCGCAGCCGCTCGAGCTCGGCAACCTGCTGTCGTGCTCCCTGCATGTGTCGAATGCTGCCAATCGTCTTTTGATGTTCTGCTTTGCTTGCTGGGAACCCGGTACGAGGAGCCAAAATATCAACAGACCTAACCCTGCCTCCTCGGAGATGGAGCTCTCCTCGCAGATGCAAGCCGGGCAGGGGCGAGGAGATGAACACAGAGAGACGGCGCAAGGAGCTTACATCATACTGTAGTCGAAACAGTAATCCCATCAGCTTCCCCCTTCCTATCATTCCTGCCAGGGTGAGAGGCAGGCGGAGGCGGATGTCATCGACAAAAATTCCGAGTCAGGACGTCGCACGCGAGAACTTTGAGCGCGTCTTTGGCGGCCGCGGCCTTGGCTTGCAGCTCCGACTCGACAGCTCGTTGGTGCTCCTGGCATGATGTTGCCACAGTCAAAGCGCCAGAGGCATGTGCAAGCAATCCAAGCATGCTTCAGGCACGGAGAGAGTCGCAATCTCTAGCTTGGAGCTTCCCAGCTCTTCTCGCACCGTCGCCGCCTCAGACTCACCGCGGCACAGGAACGAGACTTACCTTGCGCTCGTGCCGAGTAGTGCTTGCCTCCGCCATGAACTTGCCACAACGCTGCTCATCAGCTTTCCGTGCCTCCTGGACGAACTCTGCTCGGAACGAGTTGTATCAAGATGTCTGGCTGCATGACTCATCAAACCGGATGCAGGAACACGGCAGATGCGCACCTCTTACAGCCGCGCCTTACAATAACAACTGCAGCTCGGCAAGGGCGCTTAAAGTGTGGAAGACCAAGGTAGCTTGGTTCATCGCACTGCGACGACAATTCTCGAACAAACAAACCGACAACAACACTAGATGGAAACAACCAGCTGCAAAAGTCTGCTTCACTGCCTCGGCGATGGCCAGATCTGTTCGCAGCCTTTCCAACTCGGGTTCTCCCTGCACGGCAAATCAATAGCAAGCCAAGGTCAGGAGAAGCACCAGCACAAGCAAAGATACACGAGTTTGCATCGCACTTTCTTGCAGCGGTCCGACGGAGCGCATTGTTCTGATTCGCCGAACTGCAGTTCAGGTGAGGGATAGCAGTGCCGGAACCGCAATAGAACACTGCGAACGTCTCGAGCGCGCAAGGCACAGCAGCCGAGGCACATCAAGTCAGGCCGGGCAGCCAAACTGCTCCTTTGACGGGCCATCGAAGTTCCACGAATTTTGAAGGCACCAAACACCGGAGAGGTGGGCGAAGATGAGCTGCCTCAGCAACCCACCGTAGTAGCTGTCCACACCTCACAGAGATGCTGCCTGGGCACAAATCGGTTAATCGGTTGCTGGTCAGGAAGTCATCCCAACCAACCTCGTGCCAGCAGCAGAGACTTCATCGCAGCTGTAATCTCACCTGCAGTGCATGACTTTCCGTGGACCCCAAATCATAGAGATGCCTCCCCAGGAAAATGCACGCCGCTGGAGCTCTTTCGTCACCTTGCTCCGTCACCTTGCCAAGCTCTTTTTGCTTCGAGATCAGATGGGCAAGGACATTTAAATTACACCTTGGAGGCCCCTCCTTTGATCCTTCAAGTCTTGACCCCGCCTTCTGGTGGTCTCTTCCCATACGCCCTTTGCTTGCAAGCTGAGCTTGGGCTTTCGGATTTTTTCTTGTGAACAGGTCTTCCATCCACGCAATAAACTTTATGCAGATCCCGCTGTGCGACGACAGGAAGTGCAGGGGTCAAAGTCGGCCTGGCCTCCCAACACGTAGTCCGGCAGGGAAGCTCGTCCTCGCCCTTTGATCAGCGACTGAGCCCGTAGACTTCCACAGTGCTCCGCCAGGTTGCAGCCATCACTGCGCCCAAACTAACCTCAGTGCACGAGCTCAGGCCCTTTGGCGGGAAGAATAAAAACACATGGAACAGCACAGACAGCAGCTGGGAAGCTGTTGGTTGGCGCGCGAAAAGTCCGTTGAGCTAGAGGCTGTTGTTTCTGACTGCAACACTGAGGTTGGGCAGAAGACGACTCAACATTCCACACAACCATGGTCCCATAGCCCATCAGTCAAAACACACCCTGAACGTAAGTGCATCTGCGTTCTTCCAAGTTGCATTCTGCCACTCTGCGATCCTCTCCTGCGCGCACAAGAGTTTAAGTACTGGTGTGGGGTTTGCGTCGTATGATACCCGGCGAATGTCTCCAAAGGTGCCTTGATCAGGAGGCATCTATGTCTATGTTTTTACGCTGTCTCCCTGACAAACTCTGCGCAAACCGTGCATGACTGAAGACATCCTGATCACACCAATCCCAGATTCGCATCCTTTGTGAGAACATCATAACAGTGGCCATCCCGAAACTCTGAAGGAGCGTCACACAGTTGCTGGCTCTTCGAGCACCACAGCTGTTGGTGCATACGACATACGATATCCGCACGATATCCTGGCGAGTGGGAGGGTGGGTGCCGCGAAAAGATTTGAGAAGAATTGCAAGCGGCAATCTCAATGATCAAACACCTGCACAGCAGTACAATGATCACAACAATGCCAGATTCGCATCTGTTATGAAAGACAAAGCAGCGGCCATCCCGAAGCTTTGACGGAATGTCACACAGCTGCTGGTTTTTCGAGCGCCACAGCTGTTGGTGCATACGATATCCCAGGTTATACTGTCAGAAAGACACACTGGTAGGGAAGAAACAAACAGAAGTTACACAAAGTTAGATGGCAGCCAGGCGGCATGCAATGTTGTTCATGGCGCTGTCGGCAACAACAGTTGCCCATGCCCTGGCCCATGATGCAAGTTATCTTGCTGCAACCTCAGTCCAGCTGATGCCTTGAGGGCTCCTGCCAAACGCATCGCTTAGAAGGAGCCTCCGACACACTGAGCCAGGTGCAGACTTTAGTGGCCTTCTTCCAGGAAGCACCGTATGGGCAAAGGTCAGAAGTGAACACTGAGCAGTCAGGGTGCCGGCGCCATGCATATATGGAGCTACAAAAAGCTTGCTGGCGCACGGGTTTTCCAGAAAGGCTGGCTCGCGCGAATGAGTGCAGGCCGTGATAATCTTAGCGGAGGCAGCAGCAGTAGCGTTGCCCAGGAGGACAGGTTGTTTGTGGGCCAGTGAGACCAGGCACGCCCAGGATGTACTTCTTGGCACGCACAATGGGAGTAGTGTGCGCGACGGACCACGAAGTGCAGGGTGTACCTAGCCAGACACCGAGGACTAAGCCACAGGCAATCCAACCACACACAACTTGATGCACGACCTCATAGAACAGATTTCCAGCTCGCTGTTACGCGTGTCAAGCGAGACGACACAGAAGCCTGTGGGCGGAGCTGCCCAGAGATTTCGCGAGAACGGGGAAACAGCTCCAGAAACACCTGCGATTTGTACTGAAGTGCAGCTTTCCTTGCACTATGCAGCTTGCTGCGCATGTGTTTCCATGGCTTCGATCCACAAACAAAGCAGGGGGTGTAAACCAGCCAGATGCCCGCAAGTTCTTGATAGTTGGCTCCGAGTTGAAAGGATGGGTCCCAGTGTTGCGAAACATGTCGGGATATCTCGTGATCCACTCGTCCGAGGTTTCGGCATCCCCCGTGCATCGACTTCAGGAGCGTCCTGACGAACTGCCAAAGAGCTGCGGACAGAGCTACACGGCCATCCACGATCTCGCCGACCCTAGCCGTTTGTCAGCGACGAGAAGCTAGGCAGCTAAGAGTGCATTGATCCGGCTCACGGCGGTCGGGCTTTGGGTCGCCACCGCATCCTTCAGGAGGGCGGAGCACTGGAGCAGCTGGTGTTTCACGAAGTTGTCGTAGAGTTGAACGGCTAGCGGTACTTTGTCCACCTAGAGCTGCGCCACCGTGGCTTTCTCGTAGTGGCCATCGACTTGATCCACTGAGCGCCTAAGTGCTGACTGCAAGGGTGTCACAAAAGGCCCTCCAGAAGTAGAAATCGAAAATGGGATTTTCTGCTGGTAGTGAAGCTGGCTGCGTCGTCGCCTCATCCAATAAAGGCCCTCCAGATGGTCCAGAAGTAGAAGTCGAAGCTGGATTTTCTGTTGGTCTTGAACTCAAGAGGTTCCTGCTCTGGCTGCGTCACCTGGCGCCCGTTGTCGAAGGGGTGCTCGGGCACCATTTCCAGGCTTGACTCTCCCAGGCTCAGCGCTTCCGCCTCGGCCGATCCGGCCGGATCCGCTGGCGGACGAGGCGGGGGTGGAGCAAGCCGACGCCGCCGTCTCAGAGGGGAGCTCGCCCTTAAAGTCGAAGAATTGGTGGGGGCCCTCGTCTTCATCCTCAGGAACGTCACCGGCAAAGGGAAGGTGTCCCAGGCCGCCCTCGAACTCGGTGCGCGGGCCACCCTGGTCGAAGACTTGCTTCCGACGAATGTCCTCTACGGTCGCCGGTCTGCTGCAGGTGTCAGAGATGAGCACGGTCATATGCCGGAGCGCCACAGAGAACTTTTCCCCTCGTTTGACAGGTCTGGCTGGTGTCGACATAGACGAACGCTCCCTTTGCTCATTGCCGGGTGAGCAAACGTTGCCCGAACTCATCCTGGGCCATCGATCATCTGGTGGACCCCAAGCTGAGTCCCCGCCGCCTCGGACAACAAGGAAGTCACATCCGAGGGAATCTTCCCGACAACCCATTGCGCCGGAACGTAGCCCTCGTGCAGGTAAGAGGAATTCTTTGTGGCGGCACATTGTGTCACAACCGCACCCACGGCAAACTCTCCACTGACATGATGCTGGGAGATGACACGCTTGATCATCTGTTTCAAAATACCTCCGTGTCGTTCGACACGTCCCACCTGCCACGGCGCTTTGACACCGGCCTGCTTGATCTCCACCCCGAGGGAGCGCAGCAACGAGGCCACCTTGCCCTTGTTATGGTCGCCCTGGTCCCACATGAATAACTTCGGTGGTCCGGCCCAGGTCAACCAAGCATGGTTCAGGAGCTCAGCACAGGCCTTAGAAGAGGGGGTGCCGCCAGAGGACACCCGGCCAGCCACGTGGAACTTCGTGCCCGCGTCGACCACCGAAAGGATTGCGTGATGCTCACCCTGGGACATCCACGATTTCAAAGGCGTCGCACCCCGATGATCCCGGAGACAAAGCAGAGCTGGATCAATTGCTGACTTCCGGAATCCTAACTCTTCTTGAAGGTTTCTTGAAAGCTCATTATACCAAGCTCTGGAGGCATCGGGTCTTCCATACACCACTGCCCCGGCACCATTCTTTGAGACCTTGCTTCGGCTGTCTCATGTACATGACCTGCGTGCCCTCAAGTGGGGCCACTTGAACACAAGCATTCGAAATATCCCCGATGAACCAGTTCCTCGTCCAGCCGAAGCCCGTCACCAAATCTAAGAATATCATCGTGGACACTCTTTCAATTGTAGGCGAATCTACTTAACGCTTGCCAATCCTACTGTCAGGACACAAATGCCCCTGCAAACACAGCCTTGCCTTCGCCTTCACTGGCAATGCATTTCCTGAACTGTCTTTCAGGCCGGCATGCTTACTTCGAAACACGCACCTGCTGGGAAGGATTCTATCTGGTTGATCTTCTTCCACCTGCTGGCTTTGTTCGAGAGTCAATGTCTCACAGCTTTGATAGTCCAACCAAGATTTCCACTCCTTCTCTTCAGCCTCACGATACGGATGCTTTTCACACTAAGGGATGATATCATGAGGCATCTCCTTTTCCATCATACGACGAAGCTTATTCTGGCACTGGTTCTTTATACCATGGTTTTTTTTCGAACGCGCAGGGCACAGTCTGTTGCCCGTCAGAGCGCCGACTGGTATCAAACTGTCTACTCTAAGGGATTGTAATTAAGCATGCCTTCTAGCAGTAGGTTTATGGATAAGGCGCCTCCAATTCTCACGATTCTGCGAGTACGGATGCACTGTCCTGAATAGGGGGTGTTGTGCACGCGAAAAAGAGAGCTGGAGTTGTGAGCCGCACAGATCTGCTGTGGCGATGGGATGCTAAAAAATGAGTGCTTCGGTGGATCATCGCTATTGTACTGATAAACACACCTGCTGCCGCGGCCGGTGTGTTCCCCAATAGCCGCCGCTTCATCACTCCTTTCTTCATGTAGGCCCTACCCTCGTTACTCTCACGGATGTGCTGAGCAATCTCAGATTGACTAAGCAGCTTGGGGGGTTCACTCAACTGCTCTTCCGCGCTCACTTGCACTTGTGGACTGCCTCCTCGTCCTTCTGGCAAAAGCGGAGCAACTGGATCGCGGCCAGGTTCGTGTTGACGGCCTCCTCTGCCCTAAGGTCCTGCTTGCTTCCGATCGCGGGCACCCTTCCCGTTGTCCTTATCCATGAACGTCTCCTTGATCGGCGTGTCTTTGGGGGTATCCGGCCACTTCCTTCTTCCGTTCTCCTCCTCGAGTTCCTCCTGCACCACAACAGTTGGACGAGTCCCGTAAGTTACGGAAGAGTGAGGCGGCAGCTTGGGAAGCGACGACAAACCGAAGAAATCGGCGCCCGTGAGTCTGTTCGTTCTCGTCATCGGTATCATGCACGCTGCGCAGTACGGGTACATCGACTTGGCTTCGAGCTCCTCCTGCATGCTTTCCTTGATGTCGCATTCCGACATTTCTGGTTCCATCAACTCTTCCACTTCCTCCAGTGTCCGTCGTGATCTGTACCATACTGAATTTTTTCCACCCCACAGGGAAAACGGTTGCCTTCCTTTGGGGTTTCAGGACAGATCACAACTCCTTGAGTCGGTCTACCTTGTGGGTGCTCAAGTCCTCCACCGCACCTTGCACCGAGGGGCAATCGCCTGGATGCGCTCCTCCTGCTTGCGCGGTGGTCCACGCAAGAGCTGTTCATCTTCTCGTCAGTCTACAGTAGAGGTACAAGATCGTCACTCGTTGGCTCGAGATCCAAGGCTTGCTGCAGCTGCGGAGTTTCTTCATCATGGTTCATGTCTTCTCTTCTTTCTGACGACTCTGGGTGTGTGGAAGACATGAGCGCTTCTGCACAGGGCTCATTGACTACCCCAAATATCCTGGAAGCCGGTCTCCTCCTCAGAGGACATTTCAATCTTCGCAAAACTTGCCATACATCTTGATCAACCTGAGTAGCGTCACGGGCAGTGTACATTGTCAAAGACCATCTCTCCCCAGACCATGGTTGCGTCGCATGAAGCACATGTGGATTGAACTCAAACGGCTCTTGAAAGGTAGGCACCAATCGCCCCGGTAAGCGACGTCCCCGTGAGTCCTGCTTCCAGACCACATGGAACTGTATAATAACCCCGTATAGAAATCCGTATCCCTGAATGTTGTTATCGTTTTATTTTCCTCTTATCTTTTTACCAGAGCACTGGGCAGAGGCACGATGGTCCTTTGAAAGGATCCTGGGACCAGAACCCAATTCATCGGCAGTCTCGGATGCGACTTGGACTGAACCGCGTTGATGCTTCAAACAGCCGAACTCTCCTCCCGCACTCTGTCATGGGAGTCGTCCCATCAAACTCCGGAACATAATCCTTCCCAGTCTTGGGCGTATCCTTCTGCTTCCCTGATGAACTGGCCGCATCGCTGTCCTTGGGATCGCTGTCATCGGGGTCCATGTCATCCTCATCTCATCTGACGGCCCGGTCGCCACAGTGGATGGAGTTCCTGACTGCACCAATCTCCAACCCTGCGCGTCCGACTCATGCTCAGGAGCCCCACTCTCATCATTCTGCTCACTCGACGGATGATATGTGGCCCATTGGACCATGAACCGCCATGGTTGTCCCTACTCCAACCCGACGATCCTGCTCTCTCCCACGGGCCTGCCCACGAGCCGGCATCATGATTCCAGCTGCGAGCCATCCACACATCACCTGGCCAAGTGTATTGATATGCATTGTTGTTCCACCACGCTTGTGGTGTCCACTGCTGCTGCCACTGATTGCCTTGATCACCAGCATTGCCACTGGCCATCGTCGCATCGCTAGCTTCTTGCGTGTTTGCACGATTGCTGTCTTCTGCCATAACTCTGCTCCGCTACCAAGCGGATCTTGCCTAAGATCTATGCCGCTCGATGCTGCCACCGAAGCATTGCGCACTTTTTGCTCGCTCACCGAGAGCCGCATGGCTGCGTACAGCCGGTCACACTTTCACACGAAAGGACACGGAAAGAAGCAACGGCAAAGCTCAGCAGGTCAGGATGCACCAGCTTCATTCACAGATGGTGACGGCGATGACAAGCTACCAACAATCATCATCACGAAAAGGAAAAAGAAGCATCAGCATCAGTTTCCAGTTCGGCACTAGAAGCATCATGAATGTTTACGAGGCCCTCAGATAACAGCACTGCACTTAAAGGAAGAACCAGCGTGCCGGTGAAGAAAGCACATCAAGAGTGGAAGCTTGCCACCAAAGGCATGCCGAGGCTCAGCCACTCGGTGAACATGGCCAGGATGCGCCTGGCCAGATGTGGAAGGCATACTTATGTGCTCAGGGTCCCTTCTGACGGCAGCTATGAGATTAGCCGAAGAGGTGACGAATACGAACCCCCTGCAGTGCAAGGTGCTTTGCAGCATCCCTATATTCCAGTCGAGAGGCCGTCTGTCCGCGGAAGGGCTCCGGGCACATGTAAGGGCCGTCTGTCTCCTCAGACTAGCGTAGACGTTAATCATGGATTTTTTTCACTGCTTCCATGCCGAGCCCTATCGCAGAATGCCAGGATTTACGTACTGTTTGACCGGATTGCTGCGTACTTCGGATAGAGAGCATGCCGAGGCTGCGAGCTGGGAGGTGATGGCTGCAAGTCTTTTGAGTAAGGCATCGAGTAAGAAGTGCACCCCCCGGCGGGACCGTAGTACGACAAAAAATAAGGCTTGACACGAAATGCGACCGCCGAGGCTCGATTAGCAGCCGATCCAGCGGCAGCCCTTGGATGAGCTCTCGGCAGTGCTCCTGGCGGCATGAGTCCTAGCTAGTCATAGCTGCACATAACCCGGAAGAGTCACACTGCTGTCAGTTGAACTCCAACGATCCGTCCAACTGCCAATGTAGGGCAAGTAGTTGTTTCTGTCTTGCTGCTCAGAGGCATCTCATCAAGCTTAGGGCTCGAACCACAACACCAAGCTCCGCGATGCTGCGCGAGTGCCGCGACCGCTGCAAGCGGTCCTGGCCCTTCTTGGCTTCGTTGCCCTTGCGCTTGCCCTTGCCGGCCTTGCCCTTGCCTGAACATGCGAGGCACCGAAAGACCGCAAACTGCTACCAAGATTCACCAGCCTGGCGGGTCCGAGAAGGTGATAGCACCCGTGAAGCCGATGCGGAGCCTTGGGTAGTGGCTGATGAGCTCCTCCGGTAACGCCGGTAACGTTGGGACTCCGGAGCTAAGGAGTGCTGGCAAGGCTTGCATGCCCTCTGCAAGAGCCCATCCATCCCGGGGGAGCGGGTCCTGTGCATGCTCCAAGGAATCGCCGAAGCAGTGTATGTGAATCGGGTGGTGCTGGGGAACCACCCTGGCCAGCATTTGTCAAGTTCTTCGCAACAAAGACCCAAAAACCTTTAGCTGGCCTTGTCAGCTCACTCAGGAATCGGGTCTCATTCTCCCGGGTCACGAGCCGAGCATGGACGACCAGCGCCTTGTCGAAAGGAACTTCAACGGCGCTAAGAAAAGCTTCGGCTTCGCAGGGCATCGCAGGGCATTGCAGCACGTGCGAAGCTCTTGCCTTGCCCAGCTCCACCGCAAGCTCGGCCTGCGCCCGAAAGGCTCTCAGCTGGATCTGCTCCTGCCCACAAGATTGCAGAGAGCCGCTTACGCTCGATGTTTCCCATATGAGGGAGGGGGCAGCGGACTTGAAACCAGATGGGTCAAAGATCGATGCCAGTCAAACTCACGCTGCGAATCCATTTTGAGCTCAAGGCAAACGAGAAGTCTAAAGTCCTGCCTCGCTCGAGTCGTGCTTGAAGAAATCCAACCCACATTCACCAATGCCTGGATCCCACCATCGCCCAGACAGGGCTGGATGTAATCATCAGGAGCTTGAGCACTGCCGGGTTTCAGGCGACGCCGCAGCGTCGAGGATATGTGGTTCAGAGGAGACATGTTGAAAGCGCGCAAGGCTTTGCCCTATGATGAACCTACGGTCGGAAAATCCCCGATCCGACGGTCCGAGTCCAAGCCTACACACTTCGGATGGGCAGCAAAGTGCCGGACATTCCTTGGTTCAAAGAAGCCGTCAAGAAGCATCAGTTTAAGAGCTCTGGCACATATCGCAGCCGTTGCCATGCGATTGACGTCATCTGAGACACTTCTCCGCGTCCGCATCCCAACCGGCAGCATTGTGCGGATGAAGGCCTATTGATTTTGGCAAGGCAACACTGCTACCGCCTCCATGTTAGAAGGCTACTGACCAAGCAACATTAGCGTGCCAGTCTGTGATAGGATCAATGTGTGGACGTGTAGGTATGGGAGTGCAGGGGGATTCGGCTAAGCTGTTCTACATTCCCACCCATTCAGCAATGCAAGCGACTAGGCAATCCGGCTGAATGCCAAGGACTGCAGAATGATAGCCCCTACGAGAGGACTCCGACGAACATCGTCTGCCGACGGCTTCCAGTCTCAAGTTTACACGGCTCCTCTGGGTCATTGAAGCATCTGCGCAAGCACGAATTTGAGCTACAGGTTGTAAGCCATTGAGACTCTGAGACCCCGCCGCCAAAGAACATCCGAGTCCACTTCAGCTGAGACACCGATGGCGAACCACAGCCTGACATGTGAGACACACGAGACCCAGAGGTACCATCGCACAAAACGCTGCGCAGCGGGGACCTGTCGCCGTAATCCTTCTGCCCAACGAGTTGAGGTCACAGCAAGCGTGAACATGGCCCTACATTGTCCTCCGCTACGAAATCTCAACGCGCCCAGGAGCCTGTCGCTGACGGGACCGCCTTCCTCAAAGTGAGACCTCACAGGCTTCGTGTCCGACAATTTTCCTCGAATCAGAAGACTTCAGTTTTGAGCTGAGACTCAGGTGTTGGGCGATCCACTCCCACTCAGGGGTGAAGCCTGGTTTGCCTGTTCTGCGCCAGATGTCTGCACTTGCGAAGACTTGATGCTGCGCCTGTGAACATAGTGCAATCGAGCTGCTCTCCTTCCTGAACACGAAATTGGCCACGCAGCCGTCAAGGCCTGTTGGCCAGAGCGTCACCAGCTCCGGGAGCGTGACCTCTGCCCCCGCCCCTTCTTATCCAGGGTTTGAGGGTCAAAAGCTTTCGCGGAGCCTGGGGCTCGTTCTGCACTTGGGGCTTGCCGCCGCCCCGCCACGTGCGCTGCAAGATGCTCTCCTCAGGGCTGGGGCTGAGCGCGAATCTACGAGGTGACCCCATGGTCTCCTAAATGCCAATCAATGCCACCTGGGAAGACACATGTGCTTAGCTGCTAGATGGACATGCTGATGCAAATTCGGGTGGCTTGCGTCCTACGTGCCTTCGCATTCTCGAGCAACCTATTGAAATCTAAGTCTCCAGGTGGCAGTGCGAGTCGAACCAGCGGGCCTCGAGGCAGTGCAGACACGTGCCTCGGACTTGGACCGGTCGTGACCGGCTACTCCGGCTTTCCGAACGCGCCTCCGCAGGCAAGTCCGGTCGAGCAGCAAGCCTTTCCAGGTCCTGTGGTAGGCACTGAGGCTGAGGCCTCACGGAGTTCAAGCCTAGACCACACGCTTCGTGGTGCTTCATTGCATGCAGGGGCTACCCGAAATCACCGTCCGCATGGTACCGCTGCAGAAACGCAGTAGTTGCACCGGCGCTGTAGGCAGCAGCAAGGTTCAACGAACCACGGCTGCCTCGGCCTCGCCCAGGTAAACCTGGCACCGATCGGCAAGAGATCAAGCTGAGCAAAGCTGTAGCACAAAGGTTCTCCAGATGGAAATGCGGCAGCTAAAGCAAAAGTAGTACGTGATGAAGCTATCTGACTGACGGCTGAACACCAACAACATGCATACTAAACCTGGTACTGGCTTCGGTCTTTCTTTGGGGCTGTGCCTGTGTCTTCTCCTTCTTGCACCGGCACATCCGAGGTGCACGTGGCTGCCTCGAGACCCTTCGCGTGCGTCCAGCGCTTGCGCTTCTCCATGGCTCTGGGCTTCACTGTGGCTTGTGTTGGGACCTTTGGGATCGTGTTGGTTGGGATCTTCGGAAGCTGCAGAATTTGCTTGAGCGTGGCACTGTGAAAAAGATTGGGATCAGACTGCAGGCGAAAACGTCAACGGTAGCGCTTCTCAATCCTCGAATTGGGGCTACGTGCCCTTAAGGGAGAATCTCAAAACCCAGAGCTCCGATGTCCACCTGCAGGTCCAAAGATGTCGGCCGCTGGGCCTGGCATTGCTCGTGATTGCCGAAGGCGAGCAGATCAGGGCGACACTTCCAGAGGACTCGATACAAGGCGTCTCACGGCGTCTCGAAGGGTCGAAGAATCTCAACCGCCACGTGGGGCAGGGCTCCGCCTTCTGCTCAGACTGGAGGCGCACAACCACCGCTTGTTCCACCCGGAACTGCTCCTGCAGGGACTCGAAGCTTCAAATCCGCCCAAAAGCTCCTGCAATTTCTCCGTCGACCGCGCAACCCAAACCTTTGCGTAGACTACCGTACATGGCTCGACTCCTCCAGCGTTTTGGCAGCCATGCGCGCAAGCCTGGCTCTCTTTGGAGGTCCCCGGTTGTTTGCGGACCCACAGCAAGGACATGACCTCTCTTAGAAATCATGGCACGGCAACTCCATGTTCTCGGCTGCCTCATCCGCCTCCTGGCAGGAAATGCAGACGAAGGCTCAGGGCTTCAGATCAGTTCCTCACCGTAAGTCATTCCCGTCAAATAATCCCCAACACGTCTATGCGAGAAGATGGGGGGGGCCGAGTGCAATAGCATGCATCAAGGCAGAAACCTGTTTGAAAATCTCTGCTCTGTGCCTTAAGACGCTGGGTGCCTCCCGGAGTATCTGCACCTCCTCCTGCAGCGATAAGACCTCCAAGCTGACATCCCTGGCGGCACCCGCCGAGAGCACAAAAGGAGGCCGGCATTGAAGCTCCAGATGTCCGTTGGAGGCTCGCGCGAATCTCTAGCTATGTAGAATCTGGTGGAGCCTGGCCCCTGAAAACACATCTCCAGGCAGCCAAGCTCTGCAAGGTCTGACTGTCTAAGTTAATCTTACTCTGTTGTTCGAGCTGATTCCGCACTCGGCTCCAGAACACTGAGGCCACGACTCCTTGTGCCGGTGGCCACCCGGCCATCGCCTGATCATCTGAAGGCAACAGTGTGAGGAAGTTTTCGGCTTCGGAGCCTGAAACGGGCATATTAACCGGTCCTCCAAAAGTCTGACAACCCTTGACTTGCTGCTTCCCATGAGGGAGCTAGGGGTCGAGCAGCACAGCTGTTCGCGGCATGGCCTGCTGAGGAAGCGTATGCCTGCCGGCATCAATAGCATCCGTCTCATGCTGAACTGGCCAGTTTCGCAGGTGCATTCCAGCCAAACGACTAAGTTTATGAAGCGTGCAACATCAGGCATACTCCCATGACGACCCTCCTGGCGTGCTTCGCTCGCGTAGGCTGCCTGGGCTTCCGGAGCGGCCCACGACCGCCCTCGACCAGGACTACATTGTCAGCATGGACGCCATGGCCTGGGCTACATTACTTCCATCGGCGTGCTCTCCGCCGTCCAGCCTGAAGACTCGCTGCAGAGTTCGTGACTCCTTTAAAGCGAGATTGGCCTCTTTTCGAGGGGTTTCCTCTTGAGATGTAGGTCTGCGATGACTGTCAGTAGCTTCACACGCTAGCCTGTGTCATAATTACTGTGGGCTTGCAACTGCCAGCTGTGAGAAGGCAACTTGCTTTCAATTGTCCAGCCACAATTAGGTACCAGCATCCGCCCTCTCTGTCGCTCTCTCTCTCTTTTTTGCCAACGATAGATAGGAGAGTCTGGCGCTTGGCGCAAACATGAGACAACAGAGACATGTGGTGTGTGCAGGCAGCAGAAGACTTCGCGATGGGGAAGATCGCAGCTGCGAGGACGCACGTTGAGGTTTTGGCGTGCCCGTCGATGCTCCGTGATTATGCGAGCATCTCTGCCTGCACATGCTGGATCACGCGAGGTAGGTGCTCACCTGTTGGAGCGGGCACATCTGATGCTCCACGTGGAGAACTCGAAAAACGCGAACGAAAACTGGCTTCCAGAGCGCAGCCCCAGGCCAAACTACGGAATCTTCACTTAGCACGACTCAGGCTTTCTGGCTTTGGACTGGGATCTGGCTGGGATCTGGCAGAGGCAGCCGCAGGCTTAAACAATTCTGGGGTGCAAAACTCTCAGGGCCATGGTCTTTGGCACCCACTCCCTATTTCTCGCATCTGAAGACTTGACTGCACCGTGGTTCCGAGGCCTATCTAGATTCTCGATGAATGGAACTTGCAGTGTGCCAGAAGCTCCCCACCCTCTGCGACGGCCACTCGCCGCACTAGTCCTCATCCTGCGCTCAGCCGGCCGCAGAAACTACAAGACCGCGTAATGGTTCAAGTGCGCTGTTGTCTTCATGGTGCACTGACTCTCTGCAGCGCAAGTCCGAGGAATTGCAAGAAAGAAAAGCCCGCCTGCAAGCTGTAGTCGATCAGCGTCCACCTTACATGCCGATCATCATATGGTCACTGTTCGTGGCAAGAATCTTCGGCCTTTCTTGATTGAGCTCATCCGACGTGGAAGACATTCTGACGTCATTGAGTGAGTGAATGAGCCGCCGGCAGTCCGGTGATGCAGCCCTCTCCAGGACCCATGTCGTCTGCCTTTCCGGACAACGAAACGAACGAGAAACGCTTCAAGCCTGGAGAGCGCATCGGGATCTAGAGAAAGCTCGGTCCGAGCTGTCGGAAGCCTCAATGGGAAGCAGCGGCTCCCCTCCGGTGACTGCGTCGTGCACAGCCTGAGCTGCTTATGATCTTCAAGATCTTTCCGTATTCCGCCGGAATCCTACCGCCCATGCGTTATCACCCAACCAGAGCTATTTGACTCGTTGCCTTGTTTTCTGTCATACGAGTACCTTGTAAGGACAGCTCACAGTATATTGCACATGTCGAGCATCACGACACCCGCAACCCTCAAGCACAAAGTGTCGGTGCATGTCAGAACGATAACATACAAACTCATTTCGGTGCTGCTAGGGCATCGGCCACGAAGTGGAGGCCTCCAAGTTGCCTCTTTGACCTCGCCATGAGATGTGTTTGGGTCAAGGGATGTTGAGAACCTTGGCGCTTCGAGGCGGACGGAAAGTGCGGAGGGCCTCTCAAACTTGAGGTAGACTTCCTTCTCCTCTGGCCGGATCTTGTCGATCTTGTACCTGCCCGGTGGCATGGCGCTGGCTTGGGACCTGGACCGCAGCGACGAGAGCAAAACAGACACCCTAAACTCCAAAAAACGCGTCTCACGTCGTGTCGATGTCCAGCTCCATGAGAAGGTCGTCAGTCTCCAGATCCACCCGGATCTGGGGGCAGACGACCAAGACAGGGAGGCACCGAAGAACAAGCTCCCACTTCGCCCACTGACGATTCACTCCACTGGTGCTGCAGTGAAGAAGAGGCCCTCCAGGTTGCAGCTCGTTGGGATGACCGGGCGAGACAACAGCTCTGTAGCTTCTCAAGCAGTCCCATCTCGCTTCAGACAGGATTTGAGATCGCCAAGAATGTCTGTCGGCGGGACGCTTAAGGGCATGCTCAAGTCGGATGTCCAACCTGCTATCCTGGACTTCTTGGACTCCTGGACCCGGACACGTTCTCAGGCACTGGCGGCAGCTAGCTCCAGCGACCGCAGTGTAGAGCAAATGACTGGCATAGCTGAAAGCTACCAGCAGAAGTTGTGGCACATCCATCTTTGTGTTAGGTGATCATGGCCTGGTCTTTCCAGAGAGGCTGCTGACGGATACAGCATCAGCAGGCTTGTGAAGCAACCCGAGATGAGGTTTAGCACAACAGTTGCACAATGCCACAGGCCGGCGACACCATCCGCTCTGCTCGTCAGAATCAGAATGCCATAAACCTGCCATGGAAGAGCATCCCTTCTTCTCAACTCCCATCACTTCGACGGCATTAGAAGAGTGTCTTTCCGCCTGAGCACTGTCGCTGAAGCCCGGTGGGATCCGCGCCAGCTGCCCTGGCAGCTGCCTAGCATAGCACGAAGTCCAAATTGCCGAAACCGCAGACATTTGAGGGCAGAGACTTCCCGAAGGCTGCTTTCGGGCCCCGCACCCCGGCTTCACCCGTGCCAGAGCACCGAGAGAGATGGCCGTCATGGCGAACTGGGTGAAAAACAGCCTGGCTGAATCATGCGAACTGCTCGGTCCATACCAGTGTTCATCAACTTCCAACAGCTCATGAACTGTTGTCATAACCTGACAGCCCGTTGATAATCTCCGACGATGTCACTGGCCACGGGAACCCCGCCTCTCGGGCAACCGCTCGTAAGCCATCTTCACCAAGGAGCCCTGCAACGTGCAAAGAGCACTACAAGTAGTCGAAAAGTCGCTGCACCTGGCCTGCCCAATGATTCTTCTGACGGGTGCGGGCAGTACTTCTTACGATACGTGAATGTAATCGGCAGTGTGACTTCGATTCCTGCACGCTGGTGCTCTTCTTCTTCGCTGGTGGCTGGTACCCGGTCATCTTGGGGTAGACCTGCAAGCGGGCTGCCCGTCCCCTGCGCACCCAATAGAATTGCAGCCTCGCGCATGCGGTAGTTGAGCCACAGCCGGAGCATGTGGCAGTTTCGGCCTCGCGGTTGCTCAGGTCCAACCAGCAGCCTGACGCCCGGGCTAGGCCCGAGACTGGGGATGATCTTCGTCTTCTCCAAGTACTCGGGCATGGTGTCCTGTCAGATCTCTAGCTGGGAGCCCAGAGGCTGTGCTTCGTGCCGGCACCAGCTGCGTCTCTCAAGCTCCACCGTGGAAGACACGCTACAGTGACCTTTGTGTTTTGATCGTGGCGGGAACAAACACCAACAAACGCTGTCGCAAAAAGACCGCAAGGACCAGAGCCCTGAGTGCCAACAGCAGCACGAACCGGCTATGCAATCTCTAGCTCGTATCAAAGGAAGTTTAAGCTGTAGACAGACCCCGTGGCTTCCTCTCACATCTAAGAGCAGAGATGTGTGGTGCCCTTTCCTTCACAGCTGCCAGTGCAACGATCAGCATATTCCTGAGAGTGCTGGAGGCAATCTGCATTGAGTTCAGCGGCACGACACAATTGCCCATCGAGGACTAAAAGGTTCAAAAACACGCATCTGCTGTCTTCTGGTTGTCTGGGTGAGTGTCTGAGGAGTTCTAAGGCACACCAGCTCTCGGTAAAACTTCATGCAGCTATATGCAGCGGCTAAACAGGCAGCGAACTCATGCGAAGCCTAGGAGGGCTCTGACTTCAATTACAACTATAGCTGAGGCGTGATTTAGGGTAGATCTGCGCAGTCCTAAAGTGCTAGACTAGAATCACCCGTTGCTGCCTGACTGTACACCCGATGCGCAAGCTGCTTCTCAAACAGCCAAGATGCTTCATGACTTTGCGGAAGAATCGGATAGTCTGCACAGAGCATTCAGACAGGGTGTCACACAGGAACTCTGGTAGCGGGACTCCCTGGCGACAACAGCATGAGCCCGGACTGCGCCAGTGCCGCTTCAGTCAACCGCAGCTTTTACATGTTCATCGGTTTGTGCTTGCTGCACGCTCTTCCTCGCACCATGCCTGTGGCTTTACCTTGGACTCTTCAATGAAAATCGTCATCAGCTTCTGCACCTGGGACGCGATCTTTGTCGAGAACGGGCGGAGCAAAAACTCGTCGGTTGAGCACCAAACGACCACAGAGTTGACCCGCGTGGGCTTCATCTGAGCGACCTTGCAAAAATGGGACTTCCCTCATGGCAGCATGGCAGCTAAAGGCAACTTGGGAGGACAGCGGGCGCGCTGCACATTGGTGTCCGAGTTGGACAGACATTTCACCAGCAAGAAATTTAAATTGGGGACCAAAGATGGGGAGCCGGGCTCTTCGGTACACAGCGTTGGCGTCCGTTACCATCAGCCTGGCTCGATGTATCCAAATGTGCTCTTCCTAACAAGATGCAGGGCGGGGCGAAGTGTCAATGCTCTTGAAGTCTTCAATACCGGGCGGAGGCATTCTGAAGTTCAGGAACCACGCGACCGAGTCGGCTTGCATTGATACACGTATGTTCACAGCCGGCGTATCGTCATCACAATCCCAGCTCGTTTGGCAACTCTGCAGCCAGTATGGTGCTTCTTGAACTTTACCTGGCGTTTCTTTCGCAGCACCAACTACAGCAGTGGCACACCCTGCGAGCAGCAGCAGCAGCAGCCGCTGTGCTGTGGCAGGGTGCAGAATGCAGCGACTACATCTTTGCAGAAAAGAAAGCGCGAACGGCAGACTCCCACATCTTCTTCCCGTCGCGCATGACAGGCCGGCTGAAGCAATCCACCTGGCCGTGGAAGCAACGAACTGAACTGGACACACTCGTAAAAGCTGAAACCGGAGTTTTACCAGCCTCCCACTGAGAGGAGACTGCACCCCAGTCAAGGTCCTCTGGGACCTCCGACTTCCTGAAATGAGACATGTTGGGTCTGCAGCATATGGCGTAGGATTGCTTCCGATCAGAACGGCTTCATCGCGATCAGAGGGCCCATGTCCCACCGCAGCTTCTAGCAGCTCGGAATTGGCTTGGGCAGGAGGCGTTCAGAGCTGGGCCCCTGGACTTGGCAATTTCGCCGCTCTTCGTCTTCGTCGCCTGCATGGCGACACCTCAGTCATTGCAAGGGCCGTCTGGCAGCTGCAAGGCGTTTGGACCAACTTTATAATGGCTGACACAGCTGAGTCCAAGAACATCTGATGCCCTTGCCCGCGCTGACTTTCGATATTCCTCGGCACGCAGCACATATTGCGGCTAGACAGGCGATGCTTTCTCAAAGTGACCCGAGCATTGACCCCTGCTACTTGATCCACTGCACCCCATCCCTTCAAGTGCCAAGCCCAAGGTGATCACGCTCTCTCGCTGGTCTTCATGCTGCCCCGACGAGTCCCACGAGTCATACTGCGAGGCCGCCACCTCTTCGGACGAGAGCCGGGACCAAAGCTGCCAACGCCACGAGACTCGTCAGGGCAAGGCTGTTGCATCAACAGCCGAGGACTTGAGGGCAGAAGATCAACTCAAGCCAACAGGCCAATCGTGATACCAAAACCCCCGTGTGGACGGAAACCCCTCAACCGTGCGCACCGTGCCAACAACATCACCTGATCAGACGACCGTCACCTATTTTCTCAGTGCATCGACAGCTCCACCTGCCTCAGGCTCTTCGAGAACAGTGGCAACTCCTGCCGGCGACTTAACTCCAAAGCATGTCAGGGAGGCTGCTGGTACAGGCGAGCTGCATTCCTAGCCAGAAATAGACAAGCCTGGACCTCGAGGGTCAAGTCTACTCAACTGGATCTTCGACAAAAGAGTACCCATGCACCTGCTCTAACTTCCCGACATGGGCACCCTGAGTGGCTAAGCTCATGGCGCGACTTTCTGATTCGTGACCAGCTGCAACATGCTACAACTAAAAGTCGGCTTCACGGCTATGGAACGATATATCCTGCTGTTTCTGTATGCTCGAACTTCAATAGACTGGCCCACCTCTGTAATCCCAGTCGGGCCAGAGGTTGGCCCTGTCAAAACTGCGGGCCTCAGCTGCGCAGGCCGTGTCCACACAATCGTCCAAGAAAAGCTGCTACAAATGTACTTCAATTCTACGAGTTCCTTGTATGGGAATGCTGTCGACCGTAGAGGTACGCTCAAATTACCTTGTAAACAGACTCGTTTCGGGGTGAGTTGACCGTAACTCTACCGTGTACAGCAGAGGTTATAGAAGCAAGTCTTGGGGGAAATAGACTCTGCAATCATCATCCTTGAAGCCGCGAACACAGCTCCCGAGAGTTTAAGCCCAATGGGGCCGGCGCCTTGCGGCCACTGTGCCAGCGGAGCTGCTAGGGCTGCCTGGCTGCCTTTCTTGGGTTTCTCGATCTGGCGTCTGACTGGTGCCCCACTGGAGAGGTTGATTTTGCTTACTTGGCATTTGCAATGTGCACCGGCGCAGGGCAGGGGCCTAGGCAGCACGAAAGCCAACGAGGATGCTGCAAGTGCCTTGGCAGAAAACCACAATCAAATCTTCTGAAGGCTAGTTGAAAGTAGGAGCCTTGAAACTGGCCAAACGGGAAAAAGCGTGCGTCATCTTCCAACAGACCATGCCCTGTGCCAGAAACGAACAGGGACCGACATGTCTTGATCTCAGACGCAAGCCAGGCCAAAGGCCAGTGATCCAGCTGCAGACCGTCTGGGAGAGTCCATCATACTGGGTATCAATCCTGAGGGCTACTTTGCAAAAAGTTCAGAGTATTTCGGATCTGTTCGTCGTGTTGCTTCGATCTGACGGTGCTTAGCTACTTAGTTGCATGTGCTGAAGCCATTGACTCTGTGCTTTACTACTTAGGGTATCGATGCTTAGCCAGGGCTTGACAGACCGCAGAGGGGCGCAGCATGGCGGATCTCAGAAATCCATCACCGCGAGGTGGCGTCTTGCGAGCTCGACTTCTCGGGAAGCACAAAGCCCGAGCACTGACCACTTCAAGGGAATGCAATTGGCCGCTTCTTTCTCAGCCCGCAGGATGCGGCTGCTGGCCACCAGGGGATGCTGGGCTCCTCGGACATGGGAAGCCGAAAAATCGCCATTGCAGGGATCCCGTCCCACCTCTAAATCCACACCCAGTGCCCGACAACCCGGAGACTCCACTCAGCGGGAGCGCTGTTTTTAAGGATGAACTGATGCCTTTCTTGGTCTCCCTGGGCTCCCTCTCCCGTCGTCCTTGGCGATGTCTCCCCCAAAGGGCCGCCCGGCGGCCAGGGAAGCCGGACCTGGCTCCACCCAACGGGCCGACGATGGCCGACGGCTGAGGGAAAGCGAGAAGACTCCGTGCAAACCGAGCGGCTGCTTCCTTGGGCTTGGGTGCAAGCGCAAGCTCCCGGAGCATCTCCTGCACCAACAGGGCATGCCCAGCACAGGGTGTGATGTCACATAATCTGCCTTTCATTCATCCAGAATCAAGTGCTCTCCTCCTTAATCCTGTGCAGCATGGTCATGTTTGTTCTGGCTGTTGCATGTGGCATACTTCGTGTCATTGGTGTTCTGCTTGTGTGATTTAAACAGGAACTGCTTTTGAGCGACAAACACCGGAAGATGCGTTTCATATGGACTCCTCTTGGAGGAGGCCGGTGGCGCTGGGTGTGTGATCGAAGAGGCCCTCAAAGACATAGCAAAGTAGAGGAGAGTCTGGATCTGTCTGGAACTGCAAAAAACGGGCATCGCGTCTGAAGCATCGCTTGGGTCCAGGCGGCCAGTGAAGCAGTGTGCGGAAGACGTGGACTCCTCGCAGCTCATGCTCCAGCGCTCCAGCTCGCTCTTTTCGCTCCCTTCTTCTTCGACCACTCCTGGAGTCGGTGCCCGCCGGGCTGCACTCGGCGGGCTCGAAGGATAGCAAGTCCATTGCGGCTTTGTCCTCGCCGAAAGGGCGTCAAGCTTCTGGCTATTCCGGTCTAAGGCACCCGGTGATCCCTTGCCCTTGAGCCAGCGCCAACGTCTCCTACAGTCCAACCCGAAGGAGCCGTGTTGGACGGTTTGGTGCTGCAAAGTTGCAGCACTGGCGCCCTGCATTCCTGCACCTGAATGGCTGGCGAGCCTGGGGTCTCAACAAAAGCATCAGCCACACGGCTGTCGTTCGTGCGAAGGGGAACAGCGGCAGCACAATGTGTATTGGCAGCAGGATTAAAGCCAAGTGACATCCCACTGCCTTCTTTGGGCATCTCCAAGATGTCAATCTTTGATTTGGCCTTCGCAACACCGCATTAAAGGCTTCAAGACACTGAAACGACATAACAACTCCAGCACCTTTGCAAGCGGGTCCAGCTCTTCCAGCTTTGGCCTTGGACGCTCGAGACACACAGCGAGCACCTCTTGGAGACCACTGCTGACTGAAGCTGGGACAAGCTCTCAGCCAGCGTGAGATTCACCTGCAGCCGGTGCTATGGTGATCTCCTCGAGCGTCTCGGACACTCGGACCACTGTCACAAGATCAGACCCTCTGATGTCGTCGACACCCCGACGGCCGGCAACTTCCACAGCGGGGCCTCATCGGCATCTACGTTCGCCTCCTCTTCCATCTCGTAAGATGCAAAGCTGAGTTCGGCCTGCGGCTTCGTTACGCGAGCACCCTCCTCTAGTTCTTCTGAACTAAAGTCAGAGAGCACCTGAACCTCGTCCGGCTGTTGATCTAGAAGCTGCTCAAAGCTGGGGAGTTGGGACAGCAGCGCCTCCGAAGGTCAGGTCTGGATAGGTCTGCTAGAGAAGTCTTCGAGCGTTCGAGGCCTCTGGTTCCTCGCCCCATGTTACCAAGCCGGGCTTCTCCTGGTCTACACGTGTACCGTCTATATGCATCAGAGCATGATCGCTAAGAGTAGCAGAGTAGCAGTAAACCGTAAACCGATTTGCGCATGTAAACCAATGCCCCATGTCCCTGATAGTGGCACAAACTTCGGGGCAAAATGCTATGTGGTAAATCAGTGTGTGCACTTTCAGAAATGTACCTACGGGGATGCCCAGTCGGACATGTCGGCTTACAGCTTCAGCAAGACACCGGCGATCCAAGTGAGGCGGGACCCAGTCACAAATCAGAAATCTTCAAGCCATCTCCGACAACATATCTAGTCAAACAAAAAAAAAAAAAAAAATGCCAATCCCTCAACCTTGAACCTGCAAGAGACCCAGTCGGCACTGAAGGGTGCCCTTGTCACCATGCGCGCACAGAAAGGCGTTCAAGCCCTCACCCAAACGCTCAACCCTTACCCCAAACAAGTCCTGCACCAAACCCGAGCAGAAGCGCACACACACTGGTGGGTGCGGTGCTGCAGGTCTTTGTGTCAACATCACGATACTGCTTTTGCGCCGATCACTCGATGTTTTCGTGTGGAGTTTTTGCGACCCCAAACAAATGAGGAAGGAACGAAGAAAGAGAGAAAGAAACAATACAAAAGAAAGAATGAAAGAAAGGGTTAGCGCACACGTCCGAAGTAAGCCCAAACACGAAGTTCAAGCACGCGACGGCCGTGCCTGTTTTCATCTTGAGTCAAACAGTCGTTGGCATATTGATTTCATCTAACATGATCAGACATTGCTTTACACGGGGAGTCACGGTAATTCTTCATTCTACTTGCTTGTATAGTATAAAATGCAGGCGCTGCTGTTAAACTACCCGACCCCCACCCGTATGGATGATATTGGTGTATGGGTGCAATATCTGTTCATGTCACACTTGTCGCCGCTGTTTGAGGGGGCACCGTGATACATATGTGCATTGCTGACAAACATTCGAAATTACTCTGACTAACCAACTGACTGACTGACTCATTGACCAGCTGACGGACAAACAAACAAACAGGCAGACAAACAAACGAATAAAGGAAGTAACTACATAAAGAAACCAGCAAACAAAAGTCAATACATGAAGCTAATAACAGCTATAACAACCCCAACAAACGAACACACCGGTACATACGCGCACCATACATGACATGTTGAAAACAAAAAGACAGGAAGCATTGCCTGCCTGCCCTAGCTTCATTTGGGGCTTTGACTCTTGCTGGCCACATCTGCACATGGGTGTCCTTGCGCTATCCCAATTTGACCTGGTTAGCGTTGGAGTATGAAGATATGCCACATGCTGCAACGGTGATCACAGCAATTACAGCACAGATGTGCGTGCACACCTCGAGGGAGTTATGCATGAACTGTCCGGTTCACGACTTTGGTTTTGGAGCTGCAGCCCTCTTGACAATGAGCACAAAGGCTGCACTTGGATGTAAAAGCTGCCCTCTCCATCACTGCTTCTTGCAGCCTGGGTGTAGTGGTTTGGGCCCTGCACAAGCGAATCGCTCCCGCGACGGAGGCGCTTCCGGGATGCCGCTTGCAGTCGCACCATCGCCGTCTCCATCGGCGGCACTCAGCTCGCGGTAGGTCGGAGGACTGGAACCTTCACAGGATGAGGCTTCGCTTGAAATTGTGAAAACAGTGTGAAGATCAAGTGGCCGCACAGCTGGCAGCAGCTTTGACCCTGCGAATCGAATTCCTGTCCTGGACCTGGAGGGTATGGCCGTTGGCGAGAAGTCAATTCGACTGTAGTGACTGTAGTGAGAACTGCAGTGAAAATGATACTGCCAAACATCCTTTCTGTGCCGTGGCCGGCATGTGACGCATCTTATTTCACTGCGTGTTGTGAATTGTGAAAGAAGTCTGTCTTTGTTCTGTTCGCTCTGGATTCAAGTGCGAAGAAGCGTCGCATTAGGCCTCGATTTGTGCGCATTTTGGAGCTCGTGCTGGTGCCCGTCGAACGAAGTGGATATCGAGGTAGTCTGTACAAGACGAAACATGACAGAAGTTAGTATTGCTGCAACGGAGACACTTCCCAGAGGGCCTCCAGCTAGAAACCCTCAGCAACCCCTTCTCCAAAAGCCCGCAGACTGTAGTTGAGGCCTGTGTGCGCAAACAACTCAAGCTCTGCAATCAGCACACGAAGTACCCGGGTGCCTGCGGCTGCCGACAAGACTTCTGCGAGGTCAGGGACGCGGCTGCGCTGCGAGCTGGGCGCCTCCTTTCCGAGTGATCTCAGCAGTTTGGCATATTCGGAAATTCACGACTTGATGAGGCCGTTTATCAAGCCCATTGACCAAATTAGCTACCTCCAATCGGCCACAACATTGATGCAACAGCAGTACCAACAAGCTATACCGAGAGGGGTTTGGGGAGAACAAAGCACCACGGGAGTTCATGTTGATTTAGTTTTGCACGAAAGTCGCCTAGCCGCACATGCTGCCCTGTGTTTGCGAGTCATACCACAGTCCATACCACTTCCAGCCTTCTCCTCACTCAGGTCCAGCAGATCCTCCATGGGGCGAGCCACGACTGTGGCACCTGCTACAAAACAAGCTTTGCGGGCGCCTTACTTGTGGTCCTCTTCTTGAGACTTTGAAGAGACAGGAGCGACTGATGCGGGAAAGAACATTCGAGCTGGCGTCACGGCTTCTGGGCAATGACATTTATCCACGGCACCTCCGGAGCTGGATGCAGCAGGGGTGTTGTCCTTCCTGACAAAGCGGCGACTTTAACCGATCGCCGACCCGGAACCCCGGAACGCCTCTTTGAGAATTCTCAAAGTTTTGCAAAAGAGCAGCCGTGGCGAGCTGCTCGGCGGCGACAGCCGCGGCACCGGCGTGCGCTGCGGGCTCGGCGGGCTCAGCGGGCTCGGCGGCGCGGCTCCGGGCATCCCTGGCAGTTGAGCCGTTCTTGGACGGGGCCGAAGCAGCCACCTTTCTCCTTTCTCCGCTTCGGGCTTCGGGCTTGAATGGCTCACCGCTTCGATCTGGCACGGATGCTGTCGAAGTCAACACCCGGCCCTCCCAGCCTGATGGCCGCCACTCGCTGATGGGCACTCGTCCGGCACTCTGCCGGAGAGCATGGATTCGCCCCTGCCCATGCAGGATTCGGGACTACACGGCGACAGCTGCCACAACCAGTATGCAACGTCACGCCCAAACATCCTCTCTAGAACAAAGCCGGTGCCTCAGGAGGGCCAGGATCAACACGAAGCCTGCTGACAGGTCAGTATCACATGTCGATTGATTGACTGATTGATTGATTGACTGACTGCCTGTGGGTCGGGTACAAGCACCCTTGCATCTGCAAGGCAGCAGGGGTGCTACGTGGGTGTGCAACACAGAGACAGTGGGTCAGTACCACAATGCCGGAATGCGCACTTCTGCACCTCGCGTGCTTGCTTTTCTGCCAACATCACTGCAACAAGCGTCGATCCCAGAGACCGTTCAGTTTCGCCTACTTGTCCCGGAAAGCAGACTCCTCCCAGGTCGCCTCCGCCACTTCTGCTCAAACTCCTCGCGGAAAGAGGCTCTGCCCCTGTCCTCCGAAATCCGTGCAAAACCGATAGCTGAGGCTGAGGGAGTGAAGCAAATGCTGGAGTGCTGCACTGGAAGTACGCAAAGGATTTGCGAGGCAAAGTTCAAGAGTTGAAAACTCGACCACAAATGTTGCTGGTTGCCATGGTAATGCCATGGTCGGGTGCCCCATCAACGAGGCCTTGAAACTATGCTGGACATCACGTGAAGCTTTGCGCGCGATGGGCACGTTGTCAGCCTTGGAAATCGATCCACTCAGTGTCAGGGAAGGTCCGTGGCGAGGAAGAGAAAAGCTTTGGATGAGAATGAATACATGAAGACAGTTCGACACCATGGCAGAATGGACTTCTACTTACCCCTGGAATCTGCTGGCATGTGGCAGTATACAGCGAAATCCATCCAATAAAGCCATCCACGGTGCGAACCCTTGCCCGCCTTCCAACCTGCATCGGCGCATTGCGACTTCACGGCTTGGGCCAGTACGTAGACTTGGGAGACACGACTTGACAGTTTCCCAAACAGCATGGCAGCACTTGGGGTTCTTGCATACCGTTCAGCAATGCAACGGACTTCGGCTGCTGGTTCGCAGAGAGTCTCAGGTCTTAGAGGTCGTCCTGCCTCTTGCAAGAGGAGCACCCTCTCACCGCAGTGAACCACGGCCACTTCTGCCGAGTTCAGCTCGCAGCTCTCACGTAACATAGCGCCTCCCACGTACCTCGAGGACTGAAGGAGGTAGGGGACCAAGCCATTCCCTCAGCGAAAGACCCGGCCAAAAGTGCCCTCCGAGCCACACCAGCTCCAATACCTCACCGGGAGGGCGCGAGTCCTGGCAGGGATCTGCAAACCGATGCAGGAAGCGCCCGGCCGCTCCCCACCCGCTCCCCACCCGCCTGCCACCAAGCAACCAAGGCCTCCCAGCGCTGGGAGAGCCAGGCCAGAGCCGCGAGGCCTCCCAAAAAGCGGGGGCCACAAGCACAGTTCGTTCGCTTAGCTCCCCCGTTGCTCCGCATCCTCGGCTCTGCGAGCGGCGCTCCCGCGCCGAGCGGGGCATGGCGCCATGGCCCTTTTGGCCGGATCGTGAGACTTGGGACTTGGGGCCGATTGGGCGAAGGGAAGAGGTAGCGGTAGGAGCGCCACCACGCCGGCTTGGCACTGGCCCACTGGGCTAACGGCTAACGCCCCTGGACGCCCCTTGAGTTGCTGCTAGGGCCGTCTGGGCCTGAGAACTTCAGGGATCAGTTTGAACTTGATTCTCGGCCTCGCTTCCCCTCTTTGGACACAGACAGCTGGGAGTTCGCGCAGACAAACTGTCGACAGCGGAATGGTTCCCGACTTGTGACATTAGACACGCAAAAACGAATCTGTGGTTGTTTCGCCCACGCCAATGGTCGGCCGGTGAACTGGTTGGTGAACTGGGAGCAGCCTGCAAAGAAGCCGTATCTGGCCGGCCCTCTGGGATGCTGACAGCGGGATGGCGTCAGTCGGCCTAGTCCACCAGCTCGAACTCCAGGACGAACTTGCTGTTCTTCACAGCAGCCTCACATGATACTAGCAGTGCCTTTGTCACCTCAAGCTCCCCCCCCCTTTTCGAAGTGCGTCGACGCTCCAGCGGTGATGGCTCAGGTGCCGACACTCCGGATGGATTCCTCCGACTCTGTTCCTAGGTGGCTCCGATCTTTGGGAGCCACTTCGTGCCCTGGCTCAGGTTTGTCGGGAGGAACGTACCCTGCTGCGTCTGCCAACATCTGCCATTGGCCCAGGTCGCCAGCCCAGCTGGAATCAATCAAGATAAGCAACGACCACCCTGAGCTTCCCAGCCTGAAGGCCAAGGCCTTGGAACGGAGGCCTCTTGCCTGTCCGGGGTACGACATCTGGATGTCCGCAATCCTCTCACCACCTCCCGTGGCACCTCTGCCGGGCCGTGAGCTGGTAGAAAGACACAGCGTGGGCCGCGCGATCTGGCAGCGGCTTGTCCTTCGGCCTCGGCTGACTTTCCACCGCAGAAGAGCACGGCAGAGCACGGCATCGGCCTGGAAAGGGCATCGGCTTGACGCAGTGGCCCGCCCGAATCTAAGCTCAGCTGCCGGCAGGGGAAGTCGAGCATTCCTGAAAGACCTAGGACAAAACGATGAAGCCTGCGGAGAGGTCGCATCCTCTCGAGGTCTCCGAGGCATTGGCTCACACTCGTTCTGGAAGCTCCAATCTTCCATGGCCTGAAAAGACCGGCGAAGCTGAATGGAAGAGGCTTTTCTCGATTGGAGTTACCCCTCTTCTGAGCACGCGTGCTTGGGCCAAGTCAGTCCCTTCAACAACTGCTCATACTCTGTCAGGATGTAAGCATTACCGTACGACATACTACGACATACTACGGCCAAGTGGTGCTGACCCGTGCAGACCAGAAGTTTCGGCCTCCACCAACGAGAAATCGCTCTCTTCCAAAACGCAGTAGAGTCCGACCACAAGGCTCTGACCTTGTCGTTGTGTATGGGCCACCACCTTTTATGCTCTCTCGCGCAGATGTGCTCGACTCCTCCCTTTCGCCTAACATGAACCCGGGCGTACGACTGAGGGACCAGCCAGAAATTGACAGACAAGGCCAGCGGACCCTCGTCCTTCTGCCAAGAACAAGTCACCGGATGCATCATCTTTTAAGATTAGTTCAGCCACTGGTGAGGCCCCGCAACTTGAGATAAGAAAGAGAAGCTGAGAGCAGCTCGGGGCCCCGCCTGGATGCCCAAGGAAGGCGGCGTGGACGTCGCCACCCAATGCCAGTGGTAAGCTGGGATGTAGAGCCTGAGCCGTGCTCTGTCAAGTGACATCGAGCTGTGGGGCAGAAGATGCAGCGAGGCCAACTTGAAGGAAATAACGCGTGTCTGCCCGCCGAGACAGACTCTCTGCACGGCAGCCATGCTCCACTCAGAATGTGTGATGATGGATAACCACAATTCGCACGTGCCGATTCCTACTGTGTGGCATTGATGTGCTGCTGGACCACAACGTCACAACGACTCGCACTGGGGTGCACGGATGCAGCATGCAGTTTACAACAGTTTTTGTGCCGAGAGCCCGGCGTGTCTCCTTTCCTCAACGTGCCGCGCCGCACGGGGAAGTCCACATGGTCGGGCCATTGCCCCCTGGAGACCTGCCGCACGGGCCAGTGCAATCGCAATGTCTCGTCCAATGAGGCCTTGTACTGTAGGGGAGACTTTCACGGTCACAAGTCGGGTAGCAAATTCGCCGAAGGCCTAGGCGTATTGGGGTTAACTCAGGCACCCTCCTAACTAATCCTCCTGCCTACATCCCAACCCCCGCCCGGCCCCCGTTTAATTTACCTGCTTTTTCTGCCCTCCCCCAACGTCTGGGTTAACCCCACATTGCGGGTTGGGAATGGGGTTAACCCGAACCCTAATCTCGACGCAAAGGTTAGGCGGTTAGGGCTGGTGTCAACCGGAACCCCAACTAGAACTCACAACCTCAGGTTCAAGTTGTTGGCCCACCCCCCCTTCGAGTCGGCCGCCTTCAATCCCCTTCGCTCTCTAAAGCCGCGAAAACATCAGAAAAACTCCCAAACATAAGAAGGAGAGAGCCACCTCTTCCCCCGCCGCTGCCCCCCCAACACCCTGCTCTGCCATGCCCTGCTCCTCCGTCCCTTTCTGTCACATTCTGTCACCGGTGCCGCAAGCCGAGGCGCAACTCATCACCCCACATCCTCTGGAACTTTGATTCGGAGGTGATGTCCGATGATCTGTGCTAGTTCGGGGCTGCTTGGAATCGCAAACGGAACTCTGCGCAACACACATCCTTGAAAGGTCGCCAGGCCTTGCGGTTTGCCTCTGCCGGACGGAAAGGATGCACAGCACTCTGATCGCTGGTGCATTCCGTTTGCTTCGAGGTGAACCTTGCAGACAGCTCCAGCACTGCTCTTGCGCATCAACGGCTGTTGCGAGAATTGTCGACTCAAAGTGCCACCGCCGCTTCAGAGCTGATCTTCCGAACAAAACTCCTGTGGCCATGTGATATCCGCCGAGGCCCAAGGCCTCTGGCGTTTTGATGGTCAATACTGAGTAACCCTCCACCTAACCTGCACCCCAAACGCAAACTTCCACCCGCTTTTAGCGCCTGTGTTCGACCCCCTTGCCCAGCTTCCGTCCTGCCACCAGTGATTTCAGAGCCGAAGCTCACTTAGGCCTTCATTTCTGGCCTCACTTGGGCCTGCACTTTTGGTACGCTAAAATGCTAAAATCCTCACTTAAATCTTCTTTTTCGGCCTCACTTGGGTCTTCATGGCTTGGGGTTTAGGGTTCCTGGACCACAGTCATGCTAGGCCAGGAACACGGCCCCTTCATTTGGCGATTGCGGCTATAACCTATATCTTAAACACGGCCCCTTCATGTAGCGATTCCGATTGTCCTATATCGTAAACACGCCCCCTCATTTGGCGATTGCGGTTTTCCTATATCTTAAACACACCCCCTCATTTGGCGATTCCGGTTATCCTATATCTTAAACAAACCCCTTCATTTGGCGATTCCGGTTATATCCTATATCTTAAACGCCACCTGGCGATTGCGATTATATCCTATATCTTAACTCCGGTTATCCTATACTATATCTTAAACACGGCCCCTTTATTTGGCGATTGCGGTTTCTCCTATATCTTAAACGCCACCCCTTCATTTGGCGATTCCGGTTATCCTATATCTTAAACACGGCCCCTTCATGTGGCGATTGCGGTTATCTTAACTCCGGTTATCCTATATCTTAAACACGCCCCCTCATTTGGCGATTGCGGTTATCCTATATCTTAAACACACCCCCTCATTTGGCGAGTCCGGTTATCCTATATCTTAAACACGGCCCCTTCATTTGGCGATTGCGGTTATATATGTTATATCCTATATCTTAAACACCACCCCTTCATTTGGCGATTCCGGTTATCCTATATCTTAAACACAGCCCCTTCACTTGGAGATTGCGGTTATATCCTATATCTCAAACGCCACCCCTTCATTTGGCGATTCCGGCTATCCTATATCTTAAACACGGCCCTTTCATGTGGCGATTGCGGTTGTATCCTATATTTTAATTCCGGTTATCCTATATCTTAAACACGCCCCCTCATTTGGTGATTGCGGTTTTCCTATATCTTAAACACGGCCCCTTCATGTGGCGATTCCGGTTGTCCTATATCTTAAACACGGCCCCTTCATTTGGCGATTGCGGTTATATCCTATATCTTAAACACGGCCCCTTCATTTGGTGATTCCGGTTATCCTATATCTTAAACAAAGCCCCTTCACTTGGCGATTGCGGTTCTATCCTATATCTTTAACACCACCCCTTCATTTGGCGATTCCGGTTATATATCACCCCTCCTACCCCCAAAGATCCTCCCCCCCCTCCCCAAAGGCATTTCACCTTCACAACCAAATGCCTTCCCCCCCCCCCCCCACCCGGGTCCCTAGACATGCACATGTCACTGATATGGTATGCTCTCGGCTTCAAGGAAATGCAGCATGCAGAAAACACTCAGACAGATCGGACTTGAATGTTTTAACGCTCTCTGCGATTCCCGTGCGGTTTCATGTGCTCCTGTCGCCTCTGACCTCCCACATTCGTGGGGGAGAAGCACTGTACGGCACACTACGCACTCGGCAACACCTGTGGCGAGATGGAATGAACACTGTGCAGGAACTCAATCCATCTGCCGGCTTCCTCCACAGGTGCCACAAACTGAAACTTGCTGTAAACTGCCTTGGAGAAGTCGTCTGCACTCACCGATGGGGCCTTGCTCTCTCCAGCTTTCTTGCCTCTGATGGTCGCATCGAAATAAGCGAAGACTCGGGCAAGCAGCTGCGACCACGTGGGCGGGTTTTTGACCTTGGCCATGAAGATCGGCACACCACTGCTGTCAAGCATAGGCCGCCCTTTCAGCTTCTCCCACATCCGACGACAGCAGTCCATGTACCGCTCGATGTTGTCCTTGCCAGACTTTGTGGGCGCAAAGCTGCTGATGGTGTACCAGACCTGTCCAGAGTCTGGCTTGTGCTCATCGCTGCCCGTCTGGATGTCGAGGCCCTGGATCTTCAAGGCTGCGGTGACCGCTTGCGGACTGAGGCGGATGAGAACTCGCCACTCGTCTTCCACGATTTCAGCTGGCACTTGGTAAAGCAGGGGAGCCTCCTCGTCAAATGGATCGACGACCCATGCCTCCGACAACGCCGTTGCTTGATAACTCGTGCTGGACAGTTTGGACAGCAGCAAGATGTGAAGTCGCACACACTGCCGAGCTGGCAGCATGGACTCTGCAGGCTTTGCACCTGCTCGCTTCTTGCGGCCGATGCTTCCGCGGAAGACTTGCTCGACGAGGCCCAACCGAGTCTCTCCCACCTGGTGGAGACGCAGCCCAAGCACCTGGTAGCGCCGCTGGCCGGAGTCATCTCGCGTCACACTCGGCCTGAGCCGTGGTGGGATCAGGATAGGCCTCGAAAGTCCCCAGCAGTAAAACCAGAGAGAAACGACTAGACACATCTAGAAATATTTTTTTTCAAGGGATGTCATGCTCGTACACTTGTTGAAGCGGGAACCTGAAGGCGGTGATCTGCTCTGCAATGGACGTGTCGGCGGGATCCAGCTCTGCAGCCTGAGAGGCCACCAGCTGGCTGAATCGCATCCAGGCAGTGGCTCCTTAAGATGTGTGGACCACATCGGGACTAAAAATGAGCAGAACGAAACCCAACAACAGCGAACAACACTAGAAACAGAGAGGCGGTCTACGCCATGCAACGAAGAATCGAGACTCCCTCACGCCCACCAAGCCGTAAGCCTGCTGCGCCTTCGCGAGCTCGTGCTGCAAATCATTGTGCTTGTTCTGGCCGGGCTTGCGTTGGCCAGACAGCTGGACGGATGACAAGAATCCCTCGCTTTCCCGGATCGTCAAGACGAGCTTCACAATGTCGCCTGCCATCTGCTGCAATCTCTTGATGGCCAGCTTGTCTTTGTCACCCTCGGGTGGCTCGAACTTCTCAAAGCCGGCCTTTTCCAGAATGGTCTCAAGAGTCTTGGCCGCCCTTCGAGGCTTCTTGTTCGGGAAAGGGCCCCGCTCGCCCATGACGACATCGGCGGCACTTGAAGCAGGATCAGTAGAGGCCTCCATGGGCTCGTCCGCAGTAGCAGCGGGTTCAAGACCAGGTGTCTCCCCCTTCTGCATGTACTCGATGTCCTTCTTGACCTGGGCTTCGAAAGCCAAACCCTGCAGCGTCGCACTAGTCACCTTGGCAGGGTCGGAGTCAAGGACCAGCGGGTCGGGACCCTCGTCGTCGGAGCCGTCTGAAGCTTCCTCTGCGGGCAGCTCGGGGCCAGACTGAAAGAGCAGCGCATGGCCAACATCATCCCACCACTGCTTGAGCTCCGCCTCTATCAATGTGGCCGGCATTTGCACACCGACAACTGACCGAAACAAGCAGACGGTCTGGAGAGCTCGCCTCGAGAGGTCGCTCGCTTCGTCATCGGTGAGTCCAGACCACACGGACTCGGGGCCGGAGGGCTTGGACGGTTCAGGATTTTGGCTCTTCTGAAGCCAATGCTGTCGTTGGGTCGCTAGCAGTGCGTGCTTCAGCGTCATGGAGACGTTCTGCAGGCTGCCCTTGATCCGGCCAAAGTGGTGCTCGCATGAGTCTTCAGTCGTCTTTGCCGGGCGGAAAGGCAGTGAAGCTGATGGCCAGTGTCGCACCCTGCAGAGTCTCAGGTTATCCGGTCTAGGGCTTAGGATTGCTTAGCCTGAAGGACCCCGATGCAACACGGCATTCTAAAGTAGGAGTCCTACTACCGGTGGATGGAGAAGATACCCATTGCCCAGCCTTTCTGCCATGTGGATCGTTGTGTACAGCAGGTTTCGGCTCGTCGTAACATGCATGAAGCGTGAGTGCCAGCGAGCGCCTCTCTGCTGCCAGGCTTCCTGCTCTGGAAAGGATTACACTAGAGAAAGAGTGGGCTTCGGGAGGACTTCCTTATCCTGGGATTTGCATAAACATAAACTACTCTGTTGGATTATGTGATAATTGTTCGGAATCGCTTTGCAATCGACTTGCTGATCAGGGATGTCCTTCACGGAGAGCAGGATGAAATAATACCCGCACATGCTGTTGAAGAAGAGCTCGCTTGGCGAGAAGCTTTCAGCTGCGAGCCACATTCCAGTGCTCAGGGCCATAAGCAATTGGAAGAGCAAGATCCCTGGGCTGTCCCAACTGGCCACCTCCACGAGACTGCCTGCGAGCACATATGCAGCTTCCCTGTCGCTTTGTAAGTCGCGCCCGGCGTAGGACGCCAAAGGGAGACCTTTAAGCAGCAAAGTGCTTGGGACGACTCTGTAGTCGGCGATACACATTGAGCGACTTGCTAGCCTGAGCGCCCGCACGCAATCTTTTTGCACATGACCCGGATCATTTATGGAGAACACTGCGTGCCGATTCTGCCAGTACAGGGTGCCGAACGGGTACATTGGCATGGTGTGCTTGCCCTTGACCAGCTGGCACTCGCTGAAGAAGGGGATGTTCTCCGCCACGGGTTCCATGCCTAGAAACAGACGGCTGAAAGGCGCCTGAGCAGGATGATTGTCGCACGATTGTGCGATCGGCGGAATGCCGTTCGCGACCGTCATGCTTTCCCACAGTTCTGCCAGCGTGAGTAGCGTCGCAGACCATGTGACATTTGCTTTCCGGCGCGGCAGGCACCGCACGTCGTACACAATGCGACGGCTGTCACCACGTTTGATCATGCAGTGCAGCGTCTCCTGCGCTAGATCTGTTAGTTTCAGCTCCGACGGTGAGGTTGTTGATGCTGGCACCTGGATCCGACCTGCAACACCTCCCCCGATGTAGTGAGGGCCAGCCCGGAGGTGCACAAGCGACCAGCTTGGCATCCACACAGTTTCGTCAAAGCAAATGATGGCATTTCGGGAACCGTGCACGGACAAGAGGTGGAGCACGCAGTGGCAGTTCTGTTGCAGCTGGCTGGTCTCGCCTAGGCCTGGACCTGGAGTTGTCGTGGGATTCAGAACGATGGGCAGTTCATCATCCTCGAGCCAGACACGGCCGACAGTCTTGGCATTGAGGCCGAAGAGCTTCATCAAGCCGCTGTGGTTGGAGCAGTTGGCGAGGGTGAAGCCAACTTCGTGCAACTGTGCCTCGGAGGTGTGTGGGAGACTGCTGGTTGTGAGCCTCGTTGACCCGTTGTGGATCCTCTCTGCCTTCACGACGAGAGCCGTCACGAGTGTCTTCAGCACCATGTCGTGGCGGAGCACACCGTTGAGGATGAGCTGTGCAAGGTCCTTCTCGGCATCCGTGTTGCGCTGGAGGCTGGTGCCGAGGTAGTAGTCCATTTCCCGGAGCACGAGCTGCCGCTGCTGGACCTCCTTCGGCTCGTGCCTGGGAATCCAGTTGACCTGCGTCTCCAAGAGCTCCAGCATGGCCTGATTGCACATCTTGCGGGGCACACACAGGAAGCTGCGGTCCAGATGCTGGTAGAGCTGGAAGTGGTTCAGGGCTCGGAGGCCTTGGATTTCCTTCTCGAGGCTGAGGAGCTGCACGTAATCAGACTTTGCCATCGCATCCGTATGCAGGGTCCTCTCCTTGTCGTGCATGGAGAGCTGCAGCAAGCGGCAGAGGTCGATGTAGTAGGCCACTTGGCAGACCTTCCTGACGAAGCTCTCGCGATCGGCCAGCTGAAGACACTGCTGGCATGCAACTACACCCGGGCCGGGCTGGATGAACCTCTCCGTCTCCACACAAGCCGTGGCCTGCACGATCGGCAACGCCTCCTCGAGGCGACAAGCATTGGCCACTTCGTTGCCTTGCCAGGGCTTCCTATTGGCAATCCAGGATGCAAAGCTCCGGACGTGGCTGGCCGCACGAACCTGTGCAACCTGTAGTGGAACTCCAGTGCACTTCACCCCTTGGTTCCTCGCAGCCACCGCCTCTACATGAGCACTATACGCCTCGTGCTGTAAGACGTAGAAAATTGTCGAGGACCGACGTGCGTTCACCGTCACACGACAGAGCGTGCAGGTGAGCTTGAGGGGAGCTTGGTCGTCCACATTGTACAAAGCCGGTCGTCTCACTGCCAACCATTTGTAGAGATCCTCGTGCAGCGGCACCTCGCCGCCGCCATCCCGAGCCTTGCGCCGGCCCTTCTTCAGCCCAGTGATGCCCTCCTCTTGTTTGAGGCGCTCCAGTCTGCGATCAAACTCAGCCTTGTAAGCCGGAGTAAGCTTGCACTCAGCAGCCTCGTCACCAGCCTCATCGTCCTCCAGGGGAAGTTTGATGTCCTTCATCATGTCCAAACACTCTTGGCAGTCCAGCTGATCCAGAGCCCCTCTGGACAGATGGAGCTTGAAGTCTGCCCAGTGTCCCGGGGACAGTTTGTACTGATGGGCAGGTTGGAAGACAGTGTGGAAGTCGAGGTTCAGTTTCTTGATGAGCTGGTTAGCTCGATCTCCTTCTGCACGTTCGGCACGCCGCACTGCAAGGCTTTTCTTAGGCTTTTTCCCCCGCCCCTGAACCGTCTTACTCCCGTCTTGCAGCGCCCCAGGTGTGCTGCTTGGCTCCTGGTGACCAGGGGGCTGCTCAGCATCCTCGGACTCCAGCTTGACAAGAGACTCCTGCTTGGGCGCAGCAGAAGCCACCGCAGCTGGCACTGCATCAGAATGAGTATGCTCTTTGGAAAGTCGACTGCTAGCAGGGTTCTCCAGCTTCGCAGGGCTAAAGGCTAGGGTTGGCCGTGCGTTTCTCGGAGGTGTGTCATCCAAGGGGATCACAGTGCCCTGTGGGAACTGCTCAGCGAAGCGGCCGCCCACGTGTCTCGACGGAGCCTGTCGGCGGGGAATGGCTCAGGAAGCCTGCCTACAACTATGAGAGAGCGGGACCTGACTAGAAAAGTTTCACCGGAGCTGCCCAGCCTCTTCCCGTTTCAGGTTCGATGTTTTCGGAGGTGTGTCATCCAAATGGACCACAGTGCCCTGCGGGAACTGCTCAGCGAAGCGGCCGCCCACGTGCTTCGATGGAGCCTCTTGGCGGGGAATGGTTCAGGATGCTTGCCTACGACTATGAGAGAGCAGGACCTGACTAGACTGACACATTTCACCTGAGCTGCCCAGCCTCTTCCCGTTTCATGTCCGATGGTCCTTCAGCCTTTGGGTTTGCCCTGGGCATGGCTGAGCATCCTGATCGAAGGCCAGCGTCCGCTGGCCATAAGCAGGCTGACATCGGAGCAGCCCGCCATCTCATGATGTAGACCGTGGCGGTGCTGCCTGCCTGATACAAGCCGTTGGAAAGGAGGCACTCCGCTAGCTGGGCGAAGTGCCCGCAAATGTAACTCGCAGAAGCCCCGATATGCTGCAATGATGCTGTATGCGGGTCCCAGAGCACTCTCGGACACTCTCTGTGTCCGCAACATAGCAGCACTGATGTCTTGCCTTGGCATACTACCAGAGCCACGCATCGCTCACCAGCAACACCGTCAAAGGCCTCCGCCAGCATCTCCGACAGCGGCTTCTCTACTTCCAGTGCTTGCAACTCGCAGACTTGCAGGAAATTCCGTAAAGGGCACAACATACGGTCCTCGACCAAGAGGCCACCTGCATCGCACACATGGTGCTTTATTTCCGTGACCAAGCTATACTTGTCCTGCAGCGCTTCGCCGAGGATGGCCTTGTGGTGGCGCCACACCACCCTGTTGTACTTCTGAGCCTGCATCGTGCCGTCCATCAAAACATCAAAGGCCTGTTCATCGCAGCGGCTGCCGAGCCAGTGATCATAAAAGGCAGGACCCTGCTCCATGAATCTCTGTGCCAGTACCAAGCAGTTGAAGCTGCAGGCACTGCCGTGGTCATCTCCAGCCACCTGCACAGGGCACACAACCCAGGCGAAATGCCTTGTGGACCCCTGCACCCGGGTGAGAGGGGCTACAAGGCAATACATAGCATCCCACGAACCCGGCCAAGCCCCAGGCTTCTGCTGAAACCCAGGTACCGTGAAATGTCTTGTCGACCCCTGGACCCGGGTCCGAGGGGCCACAAGGCAATACATAGCATCCCAAGAAATCCCCGAATTCAGGAAGAGCCCGGCAAGTACCCGTGACCATGAACCCGGCATGACCCGGCCAAGCCCCAGGCTTATGCTGAAAGCCAGGCACCACGACATGCCTTGTCGACCCCTGGACCCGGGTCAGAGGGGCCACAAGGCAATCTCAACAAAAATACAGATGAGCCGAAGCCAGAGACACGGAGCTGGAGGGATACACCTCCGGCAATACTCAAGTCCTACTAAATTAAATTTCGTTGGACTTGCACCAGCCTCCACAAGACCCCAAAAGTCCGTCCTTGGGACCGCCTTCCAACCGGATCCAACCGGCATCCCGAAAGAATTGCCTTGTCGACCCCTGAACCTGGGTTAGCGGGGCCACAAGGCAATGTATGGACCTGACGGCACCGCGAGATAGCGCGAGTCTTCCCTAGCTGTGGGATGCCTGCCCTGCTAGGAAATGCCTTGTGGACCCCTGGACCCGGGTCAGAGGAGCCACAAGGCATTCCGCTGCCGTGCGACAATCGGTCAGAAGGACTGTCGATAT